CAGCAAAGCTTTCACTTAGAATGGAAGAGCAGATAAAGTGCTTCCCAGATAAGGTCAAGTTAAAGGAGTTCATCATCACCAAGCCCTTATTATATGAAATATTAAGGAGACTTATCTAAGAAAAAGACCAAAACTATGAGCAGTAAAATGACAACAAACTCAACTATCAACAACCAAACTTAAAAAACAAAAGCAAACAACTAGAACAGGAACAGAATCACAGAAATGGAGATCACATGGAGGGTCATCAGGGGCGAGGGGTGGGGGAAGAGTGGGGGGAAAGGTATAGAGAATAAAAAGCATAAATGGCAGGTACAAAATAGACAGGTAGAGGTTAAGACTAGTATAGGAAATGGTGAACCAAAGAACTTATATGTATGATCCACTGACATGCACTAATGGGGGGGAGGATTGCTAGTGGAAGGGGGTTGCAGGACAGAGGGGGATAGAGGGGGAAAAATGGGACAATTGAAATAGCATACTCAATAAAATATACTTAAAAATATCCATTATTGTACATTGAAATCTGAGATAGAAAATTAAAAAATAAATATCAATCTAAAGTCATACTTTAAATAAAATTTTAATTAGGTTTTCAATTTATGTGTAAAGTTACACATCAAATGAATTTTAGATTATGAGATGTTTTGAATTTATTTATTTAATACGGATTTCAAAGTACATTGCTATTCATCAACTTGATGCCTGAAGGCAGATGTAAAATGACCTATTTTCGTTATTTCTTGCAAGAGCCTTTCCTAACCTCCTTGTGAGGAACCTGTCCCATGCACTGTAGGATGTTCGGCAGCACCACCGAGATGCTGACCAGCAGTAACCTCTCCCCCTGTTTGTGATAGTGAAAGCATCTTCAGACACCGCCAGCTGTCCTCTGAGGGTGGGGGGTGGAGACAGATTTGCCCTTGGTTAGGGACCACTCCCTGCTCTAGAGTCCTAAAACTCCTCTACTTAATGTTCACTGGTAATTAATGACCTCCTCTTGTCCTGCAAGAAACAAATGGTATCAGCAAACTGTGATACTTGTTTAAGTCTCAGTCAGACTACGTGTAAGTCTTGTGTCTTTGTTTCTGTTTTTGTCTTCTGTTTTCTTCCACATTCATTCCCTCATCCGTGGGGTAATCTTTACTAGTCCGTGGCTTTATGCCATGTGTGATTCCAAGTACTAGATACGTGTGTTGGTCATCCGCCTTTTAGGGTCCTTGTTCTCGTGCAGCTTATAGGAGAGTGACGAGGAGGCCCCTGTGCAGGCCACCTTGTCTAAAACACCCATGCCCTCCCGCCCCCGCACCCTATCTATAATCAGTTTCTTTTCCCTTTTCTTGTTCACTTCACCACTCCCTGAAGTTGTTTTCACCAGCTTTTGTTTACTTGTTTTTCACACGTCTCCCTGGCTGGCATCAGCTCCTTAACAGCATGTGCTTTTATGTGGATCGCTCCCCAAGAAGAGGGCGCCAGAGCAGGGCTAAGTCACTGTTTGTTAAATGGATAAATAAGAGACAAGCAATGCCTGTTGAACAAAGAATTAGAAACAAGAAAAGCGTATAAAGTTCCTGTGAGGAATCTCCCTCAGCTCAGAAATTTTGCTCACGAGTTGTCTGATGAACCTACCGGAGCAAACCTGTCTGCGGACAGGGTCCTGGACGAGGTGAGACGCTAACGTCTGACACACCATGGCCTGTCACATCCACCCTAGACAGGGGGTCACAGGTGGCGGCTGAGCGAGCAAACCTCTGCCCCCTTGGATGCACCTGTCTGGCCAGGGACAGGAGGGAGTCAGTGTGCGGCCGGCAAACCTCTCTTTGTGGCCACCGAGCCCAGGAAAGCTAGACCAGTTTGGTGGCGGTGGTGCGAGAGGCACCCTGGAGACTTCAAAGTAACCCTGACTTGGGCAGGGGCTAAAAAACAGGGTGAGTGATACAGAAATGTTGCTGAGTATTGCCTTGAGCAAAAAACAGAGGGATAGCAGACCGAGCAGCGGGCTCTGTCTCCTCCTGTGCTACTGCTGCAGCCTCAGGGCCCAGAGCAGGGAGCCCTCCCCAGTCCTGGCGAGGGTCTAAACCAACCGGACAGAAGGAATAACTCTGAAGAATTAAGTTTATGAACAGCTGTGGGGTTACCCCACTAGGCATTTAACCATTTTTACTCTGGGTGAAAATCTTTCTAGAACCCATTGTATATATTTTTTACTTTTTCAATGTGTTAACCACTTTCTTTTCTTCTAGAAGACACTATGATAAACTCAGTAATGTTTGCTGAGGCAACAGGGCATGATGACGGCGAGCCTCGCTTCTGAAGGCACAGAGCCTGGGTCAGAGCCTGGCGCGGCCGCGGACGAGCTGGGCAAGTTAACGTTCTGGGCCTCAGGGTCTTTATCCATACACAGGGGTAACAGATAATATTAGTAGCTCCCTCAGAGGCTTCTTATCAGGATTAGATGAATTAATAAGTGTATGTAGCAAGCAGCTTGGTGTATAGTAGTCTTGAAAAATGTTAGCTACTGCTGCAGTGACTACTATTATTACTATTACAACAACATTTTTTCTTGGTACCTTGTGCCCGGTCTAAGTGTCTTGCATTATTATAATACACCACAGCCCAGGGATTCTGGTTTAAAGGCACAGGGTTACTGGCTCTCACGTACGCCAGTCCTGGACAGACTTGCAGAGCGCTCTGACATGCTGTTGTATGGTTTTTCTATTCTCCTCTGTAAGGTCTCTGATTTTTCACTTCTCCTGTTGTCAGTCGTTTTTCCTGTCCCTGTTAGTCTCCTCCCATGCTCCCGTGTTTATACAGGGCATAAAACAGTCAGCCCAGCCTGTCAGACACGTGTGTTAGTAGGAGCTAGTATGTTCTAAGCCAGGTTGAAAAAGCTCTCCTATGAACACAGAGACGGAACCTGATTCCACAGACATCCCTTTCGGCTCTCCAGAGGTATTTCATTCCCTGATTCACAGATCAGCATAAGTAGTTATCTGAAAATTGAGTTTCTGGGGACAGATATAACTATGGCTATACATACATGTTAAAATTAAAAAGCCTCTAATTAGTTTAAATAAACAATCATTGAACTCCTTCTAGAGATGGATGCTGGGGGAACAAAAATGAACGATACGGTCCTGAACCTCGAGAACCTTGCAGTCTAGACAGGGAGACGAAGCATCTGTAAACCCCGTCCAGCTCACGCAGAGACCCAGCACTTTCACACCGGGGCTCTCTCTGGGGACCCAGAGAAGGGGCCCCCCACGAACCTGGGGTGCAGGCCAGGCTTCCTGAGGGGGTGGTGCCTGGACAGAGATGGATGGCCCAGTGACAGAGGGCCAAACGGGCCAGTCCAAGCTGGAACCACAGAGGTAATGGAAGCAGTCTAGTGCTTTTGTGAGAGTAGGTGGGTGTGTGCGAGTAATTAATAGTTTGATATTAATGTGATAAAAAATATGTCCTCATGTGCCATACCAAGAGGTCTGGACATTACTTAACAGGAGATGAGGAGCCATTAAGATATTTTTAAGGAAAAAATAGGAATTTTCATATTTCCCTTTTACATGTCTAACTCAGACAGCATGGTGAAAGGTAGAGCAAAGCTAGAGAAGACTGGAAGAAGAGAGACCAATTAAGTGTCTTAGCAATGACTAAGCAGCAGAGGTAGGAAAGCCGCAGTGAGGACAGCGCAGCAGTTGGGATGAGGAAGAGAGCATCCCGCGTGTGTTCTGAAGGTGGAACTGGGCACTGCCAGAGGCTGTGAGACGAGAAGAGTCCATGATGGAAAGGAATCAAGGATGACGGCCAGGTTTTAGGTCTTGAATTACTGGTTACATGAGAGAACAGTTAGCTAAAAGAGAAACAGTGGGGTTTCTTGTTAGTTTTAAAATTTAATTTAGTTTTTTCTCTCTTTGAATAGTGGTCATAAGATCAACTAATGAGTTTAGGTTGAGACATGTTAAGTTTGTATTGTATAAACTTTAGAGTAATTAACAAATAGAGCAGATAGAGCAGTTAAAAAGCCCAGGAAAACACGCGGACAGGAGAGCCGCAGGGCAAGGGCAGGGTGGGAACCTGGAGAACGCTGGCGCTGACGGAGGGGCGCAGGAGGACGGCCGGGGGAGGACCTGGGACACCACACTGAGGAGCACTGAGTTTCTGACGGACTGGGCAACACAGACGCTCGATACAACTGCAACTGCTGTGTTTTCTGAGTACTCACTACGTACACATCAGGCACTGTGCTGTCTTATACACTGTACCTCAACTAATCTATAATCCATATGCGATCGATGACAAATCTGAAGATCAGCAAAGTCATGAAACTTACCCAAGGTCACAGGGTGCGCTGGCAGAACTGGGATCAGAACCCAGGTCTGATGGCTTACAAAGCCCATGTTCTTAACTTCAGAGTAAAAGAACTTCTTCAGGGTGCAACTTAACGTTGTAACAAGGACTTCTACACTCGGCTTTACAACAAGTATAAGTTAAAAACCATCTAATACTCTCAAAGGATTATTTAATACTTAAGAAGGTCATTATACATTTGATCACTTTGCATAATGAAAATAGATTATTTCAGTGATATATTCTTTAACAATCTTTTTATTTCATAAACACTACACTCACCAAATTGTAGAACAACAAAATACAACATAAGATAATCCACTCCTTTGAGCTCTGCTCCAGGGAAGCCAGCAGAAAGGTCCTAAATGGACTAGCGCTCTTCAGAGAGAAACTGAGTGCCCTGCGCCCAGACACCTGTCCGCTTATTTTTCCCACAAATGTTACTATCGGTCTCACGGAAAACCAGAGAGGCTATGCACAGTTTAGCACAAACCTAGCACATGAAAAAGTTAATTAAAATAGGTATTCTGCAGAAGATTTATTTCAGATAATAAATTACTATCTTTTTTAAAGATAGAGAATAAGAAAATTATTCCTATTATTAGGGTTGTAATTTTCCTATTTCCCACTAGAGGAAGTAACAGCATTGCTCTTACCATTTGGTGGATAAAAGACAGCATATTCTTCTATTCCTAGTTTTCCTATAAGAGAAAGCCAAAGAGGGTTTCAGTGTGATTAAATAGACAAAGCCTGAAAAATTAACTTATTTTATAAATGTACTAATAATTAATGGAATTTTTAAAAACAACAATAGTAAAACCTCATTTCATTTTATTGTATGGAATTAATTTGAAAATATGCTAGCCAATCTCTTTATTTTACTTTTATTTTTGATTTTAGAGAGAAGGGAAGGGAGGGAGAAAGACAGGGAGAGAAACATTGATGTGAGAGAAATATTTAACAGCTGCCTTCCTAACCTACCCTGACTGGGACTCGAACCAGCAAACATGCAAATGGCAGGACAAGGCCCAACCAAGTGAGCCATACCAGCCAGAGCCAAACTTTTGATGTTAGTAAATCTTTTATTCAATTGAAATCAATAGTATAAACTTAAGTACAAGGTAAGCAATACAAAATAATTAAAAGAACAAATGCTTTTAAGCTTCCTGAGAAGCATCTATTTATAAGCTTAGAATTGTCTTGCTAACTATCAACAATTCTAATGTGTTCATTAAAGCAAGTCCTCAGCTTTGTAATGCCTCATTAGTTTACATTTTTATAGAAAGTGCTGAAAAGTTACAAATTAAATGTCTTTAACTACTTGGTGGTGGTAATATTTTCTGAATCCCAAAACAGTTTATATGTTTCAAGAATGAGGCTAAATATTTCAATCAGAATTGTCTCAAAAAATTAAAGTATATTCCTCACATTTAAATGTTTGAAAGAGTTTTTCAAAATAGCTTTTCCTCAAAACTTTTAAGGCTCTGAGTTTTTTCCCACATTCCACTTAATATCTCCAGGAAGTTTTTATTTTTATATTGATAGTTTTTCTAATGCCTTTTGTCTATTAAAAAGTCACATGCAATTTTGCCCTGAGTTTTAAGGCAATATTTTTAGTTAAATTAAAAAAATGTGTTATTTTTTTCTGGGGGTGGTGGCAGAGAAGAGAGGAAGAATAAGAACCATGATATTTAAGTTAAGATGGAGACAACAGAACTGATTTTTTTGTGTGTTGGAGAAGAATGGAAGAATGAAAAATAGAGAGAGAGAGAGATGCAGGTGGGTACTTGATACTGAGCTAGAGGTCAAGCAGCAAGTAGAATAAATATATAAGACCTGGTCCCTTCACCACCATGTGGCTTACAATCCAGACTAAAACATGAAACATTTAGGACATAGTTGCTAAATTTTCTGGCACAGGCTTGAAGGGTCTTAGAGGTTCAGAGGAGAGGGAAATTGATGATGGACTGATGGACTCGGTGAGAGATGGGCTAGTCCTTGAGGACCGAAGGTTTTGGGGGAGGAGGCCAGATGACTATGGGGCATTTCGGAGTAATGCAGAAAGTGAAGTTAGTGAGGTTAAGACAGGAGCAACTGATGGACGGCCTTAAATCCTGGCTGAGTCTAGAGGTGATTCCATTAGACAATTAAGCTGTACAACCAGGCTTGTAGCAGATGGTGTTGAAGAATCAAACAAGAGGCTCAATTTAGAAGCAATGGTACAGAAAGAGCCCCCAAGCTGGGGGAGGGAGGGGCGGAGCCTGATCCCAGCACCAGGTGATGTGGGCTCGTCCTCGGGCCTGGCAGGAGGAACCAGGCAGGCAGTCTGAACTAGGAGATATAGGAGAAACTCTTTCCTTACGGGAACAGCAGAGGGTTAGCTTTTAGTGCTGGGTGATGGGAAAGGGTTCCAGCTGAAATTAGTTCAGTTGCCAGGGGATGGGCAGGGTATTGAAATAGTGATATATCGTAGGCAGCTAGTGATAAAGAGGAGAAGAAAGCACTAAAATAGGAATTAGAGAGAGCTATTAGCAAATAAATTATACCAAAATTTTAAGTGTTGTAGATTGAGAGAAGAAATACAGAATGTAAAAAAAATTAGAAAAAGCAAACCATGATAAACTCATAAAAGGGAAAATAAGTCAACAGATAAGAAAAACAGCAACAGAGCAAACAGTCTTGGTATGATAGTCTAAGTGTTAAAAATACTTCCTTTATGTTACTAAAATTTTACCTCGTATGTATGATTTCGGTGGTGAAGCACTGTTGTATGCAAAGTGACCCAACACAGATGTGTCCCGGGAAAAACAAAGTAAAACCTGGGTATAACATTGGAAAAAAAACAAACAATTAAGCACTGTTTAACTCATGGCTATTTCCTGCTTGGGATGCACTGACCGAGGCTCTGGCAAGTTCAGTACTGTGCCTCTCAGTGGGAAGAGCGCCCTCTATGGGTACGCCTGTGTAAGTGTAACAGTGAATGTCAGGTGTGATGGCCAACGTTCATCTGAAGATTTCTTACTGTTAGCTACTGAAACCTTGAACAGCAGCAGAAAATGCAAGTTGCTAACCACCAGTTGGTTCTTTCATTGTGTTTTATAGGTGAGAGGAGAAAAACCTGGAAAAATTTTCATGGATGAGAATAAGTGGGGCCCTCGGGAACTACAGTGGCCTGGAGCAATTTGGTAAGTGCAGCAAACTGGAAGGAGGCTCATCGCTGGGAAGCAGCTGCAGGCAGTGAGGCATGGCAGGGTGGGAGGGAAGGCAGCTCAAGATACTGAGAAGGCACAGCAGCCATACTGCTGCAGCCACAGCAGAATGAGTGGAGCCCACTGATACAGGTTAGAAGCTGGTCATTCTACCAGCAGGTGGAATGTAGCCAGTCCACCTGAATCAAGGATGTCCATTAGGAGGGGCTGGATTGCTGACACCAGCCTGGAATTTTAGGGAGGGGGCCAATCCCTGGGAAGGCAAGTAGTGACAGGAAATCTGGGTCTTGCTATTGGGCCTGGGATTCAAAGGTGTTACTAGGAAAAGACGTTGGGAATGACTGGAAAAGGCAGAAGCCCAGTTAACAGAACAGGGACATAAAAGTCGGGGCTGGGCTGGCAGCCAGAGTGAATGAACAGGGGAACTGTGGGTCCAAGACACGAGTCCAGGGCCAATCTAGAAGGACAGGTATGAGGACCGCATGTCAGTCAGGCCTAAGGGTGGAATGTGTACCAACCACTGCCACTGATTTATTTGTATTGTATTTTAAAATTCTGTACCAAGCAATACATATTCATGATAAAAACTAGAAATACAGATCCTCAAAATAGGAAAAACACCAATAGTCCCACCAGTGTTAGTCTTTTGATGTATATATTCTTTCAGACTCTTCTTAGACACACACACGTAAATTTTTCAAACAAAATAAGATTATATGCATACTATTCTATAGTCCATTTTCTTTCAATATTATAAAATAAATATTTCCTACCCACACTTTTTAACATGCAGAATATTCCACTACATGGATGAACAATAGCTTATTAAACTTGTCTTTTTGTTGGTCATTTAATTATTTCCACTTTTCCGAAACTAGAAACAATATTGCAGTGAACTTCCTTATAGCCAACAGTTATGTACACCTTTAGTTAAATCCCTAAAACTGGACTACATGTCAAGTGATGGGCATTTTAAATCAAACTTTTTGATACGCATTGCCAAACTGCCCTCCAGAAGGGGTTTCTTGTATTTAAACATATCCAGCAGCAAGGTCGTACACAGTCTCTCCTATTCTCATCGAAGTGAGTTATCATCATCTTACAGGTTAAAATAATGGCCTCTTGCTCTAATTACTAATGAGGTTGAACACTCACTCATTTGCATTTCTTTTATTTTTCTGTTTATCATCGTAGCCTATTTTAAAAATGAATGTTTTGGTGTTCTGGGGAGCCAGGGGGGGCCAGCTGCTGCAGCCGTCCGCTGAGGGAAGCAGCGAGAAGGGCCGGAGAAGAGGCTGCACCAAGGAGAAAATGCCCGAGTTGCCACTGGAGTTTAGTCCACTGTCCAGCAGCTGCCACCGGCGAGGCCTACCCACCCGTTCCCCCGTTCCCCTGCCCCGGTCACGAGGCAGCCTGCTTTTGCAAAGTGGTACAACTGCAGGGGCGATGTCTCCATTGAATTTTGTGTTGAAGACAGTCAAGATGTTAAATTTTGAAAAATCCAAAGTTACATTCAGTTGTCTTAGAGGAAGTGATAATTTTAAACATTTAAATGAAATTGATCTTTTTCACTGTATTGATCCAATGATTCCAAGCATAAAAGAATGGACAGATCAGTTTTATGCTGTTTACAAAAAGGAGAATCTGTCTGGCCGGATTAACTATAATTAACTTATGGCCAAGATTAACTATAGAAAGGGCAAAACTTAATTGGCATTGCGTGGGTTTCAAAAAGTGCAAAGACTGGGAAGATGATTCAGATGAAGACATGTCTAATTTTATTGTTTCTCAGAGATGAGGAACACCACGGCGGTGATGAGGATGTAGATTTACCAGAAGTAGATGGAGCAGATAGTGACTCACAAGGCGGTGACGATAAAAAAATGCCAGGTCTGGAGTAAGGAATGTTGTCGTCACTGGATTTTGAAAAAGAAAATAACTTCTCTGCAAGATTTCATCACTGGATTTCTGAGTTGATTGCTCTAAAGGCAGATGCTGCATTTGCTTCTTTTAACCCGTTTTCCAACCTGTTTGTCTTCTTCAAGGCTTCACTAAAGCCGATAGGTCCCATTGTAGGGGGCACTTTTAGGTCAGCTAAGGCAATCACCTTATGCATGAGCATTTCCCAGACTTTCATGACGCTGCTGAGGTCCTAAGCAATTGATACGGAAGTTGTGATAAATAAAAACATTTTACCTAAGTCTCCTTCACTTCGTAACATAGATACTGACATGATAAGGGAGCTCTGGATAATGGAAAGATGGTTCCAGATTTTAGTATATGGGCTCAAACTGGCTGAAACAAATTGGTTGATACCCTAAACTGGTAATTTGTTCCTCTGGTATATTCTTCAGGATTGTCCCACTAAAGTTACATTTTTCAAAATATTTACTTCACATTACTGTACATAGTGATAACCTGTCAGTATTCCACATGTATCTCAGCTAAAACTAGTAAATGCCCTAACTTAGATGGCTTTGAAGCCTGTACATTTGGTATTGTTTGGCCCTTGAACTTTTGCATCTCTTAGCATAGAGGACAAAGAAAGGCTACACACTGTTGCTTAACAGTCTGTACATTTAGACCAAATTTGTATTTGCACTGTCAGTATGGCAAATGAGTAAAAAAAAATGTTAATACACAATTGGATTTTTTTCTTTCTTTTCTTTTTCTTTTTTTGTTTTTTTGATCCAGCTTGTACCAGGGCTGAAAACCTCAATTTATGTTCATGACAGTGGGGATTTTTTTAATGTCTATATTCTTTCTAATAAACTGTTGGAAGACTAAAAAAATAAATAAATAAAAATGAATGTTTGAAAATCTATTGATTTGTGTAAATTATTTGTATTTTAATGATTCTCATCTTTGGTCTAATTACATGTTACAAATAGCTTTGCTCAAATAATCTGTTAATTATTTTTGACAGAGATACTTTTAATGTTTATATGCTCAAATCTACCAATATTTTCTTTCATGTGTAAAAAGCTCCTCCCCACATTTATAATTTATAATACTCTCTATATATTCACCCAAATTATGAAAGTCATTGGTGCTGTTCCTCAGATACTTCTGGTTATTCCCCTTTGGGGACAAATGTCAGCTTATCTTTTCAGGCGTGCAAGTCCCCGTCTGAGTCTACTTCCCTGGGAACCTATCTCTCAACATAGTAAACGTTGAGGGAAATGGTCAAATTCTAAATACAATGTAAAGGTAGAACCTTTCTGAGTGGGAATCGAACTGACAACCCTTCAGTTTGTGGGATGACACCCAACCCACTGAGCCACACCAATCAGAGCTCTTAGGACATTCTTATCAAGAAAAATACACTTGTAAAATCTTTCCCTTTTCTGTCCTCCTAACCTCCAACCTATACAGCCTTCCTGTTTCTAATCTTAACTCCCAGTAACACCGTGCTTGGACCTACCCGAAGCCTGAAAAACCGCTCATTCTGGATTCTTCAGTCTCTCTCAGCCTGTGTATTTATCCAGTCACCAAAATCCTCCTGGTTCTACCTTTGATAGCTCTTTCCTTCCAACAAGTATGTATTGAACTCTTAGTATGTGGCATCCACTCTTCTAGGAACTTAAAATACGGCTATAAACAACAATAACAACAACAACAACAACAGAAAACCCAAGTCCCCATCTTCATAGTGATTATGTTTTTATGAAGGGATTCAGGAAAAACAACCAAAATATATATTACATGTCATCTGGTGTTACATGCTACGGAGAAAGATAATGCAGACAGGAAGGATAAGGCATGCATACACCACATGTACATATAGGCAGACGTCTGCTATATTAATTAGGGACCTGAGAGTGGTCAGGAAATGAGCTCAGCGTGATAAGGTTTTTCGCACAAGGACAGCTCCCTGGGAGCAGACAGGCAAGCCTGGAGTTGAAGGGAGAGGTCCAAAAAGAGATAGAGAAGTAAGAATTGTCAGTGCATAAATGGTATTTAGAGCCAGGAGAATAGGTGAGATCACTAAGGGCAAGAACACAAAAAACAGCAAAGGTCCAAGGACTTGTCCTTGGGGTGCACCAAGGCAAGACAGAGAGGTGAGGAGAAAGCAGCGAAGGTGACTGTGAATGAGAAGGAAACCAGAAACCGTGATGTCCTCGAAGCTGACTGAAGAAATCAAGGGGAATCAAGCAGAGAGAAGGACCAAATAGATCAAGTCAGATGAGAAGTGGGAACGGCCCACTGGATTCTGCAGTTTGAGGTCACTCAGGACCTTTGTCAGAGCAGTTGAGCCAAAAAGTCTGCTTTAAGAGAGAATAAGAGGATGGGATGGGAAACAATATCAATGGTTTTTAAAAGAGTTTTGCTGAATAAGGAAACAGGGTGGGGCAGTGGCTGGAAAGGACATACTATATGCAATACAGGATCAAGAAAATTTTTTGTTTCATTTTACTTAGCTTTGACTTTCAGATGAGAGGAGTAACAGCATGCCTATAGACTGAGAGGAGTAATCCAAGCAATGAAGAAATTGACAGTGGAAAAACTATGCTTGCACTGCCTTTGAGTTCCCAGGGCAGATGAGGGCCAAATGCAGGGACTGGCTCCATCATCAATGAAAGCAAGGGCAGTTCAAGCAAGGGCAGTTCATCTGTGGTAACACGGAAAGCTGAGTGTACGGTGCACATGCGCGTAGCTGAGGCGCACGTGGTGGTGCGAGTGTGAGGGGTCCCTATGCAGAGATTTATTTATTCATTTATTTTTCAAAAACAGGACTCAAAGTCATAAGCTGAGAGAGAAAAGACAACAGTTTGAGGAAAGAGGAGGTGCTAAAAGTCATCTAGGGGAATGAATGAAACTGGACTAGGAAATGCAGAATTGCAGGGCAGAACTAAGAACTCTTGAGGTTTGTGGTCATGAATTTAAAGTAAAGCTATAATTATTATGGTTGCATGTTTTTCTCCAGCCACTTGCAAATACATGCTACAGCCACAGAATTAGTGCAGAGTTGTACTTAAGCAAGGTTAAGGTTTTGTCTAGTAATCACTAGTAGAAAGTGGGAGAGGGGCAAGGCCGTTGAACAGGTACTTACGTGGAAGTGATCTAATGATAGACCATGTTATTGGTAAGTCTTTCACATTTGTTCTCTCTGGTTTATCCACACAACCTTGCTCTCCATCAAGGGCACAGTGACCCTAACCTGAACCGCTTAGCGGGCACTGCCATACTGAGCTAATCTCTCCACCTGTCACAGCACATACATGGCTCATGCATGGTTTTCGTTTTTCCCGTTCTCCTCCTAATTCCCTGCCTTCGAGAACCAGACATTTCTTACAACATTTCCATTCTGAAGCCCTCACTAAACTACACCACTCCCAGAATTTATTTCTCCTTTAACTATATTTGTGTGGAACATTACAAATTACAGAGCCATCAGGACAATTATCAAATTATAACTATGCATTTGCATTTCCCCTCATTTCCACTGAAATGTGAGCTTAATAACATCATCTTATGCAGCACCTACTACAGTGCCTTTATCAAAACAGACACTAATTTGACTAAACGGATACATGAATAAAAGATATGCGATTGCATCTGGGTCTTTCTTCGACTCCACTCAATGACACTAAACTAACTATAACTATGGCACGCTCTAGTGTGTCAGTACCGCTGCTAAGCACACGCCACCTAAGCCAAGTGTACGATACAGGATTTATCACACACCAGAAAGAGTGAATCCCCATGCTTTCCCTTCACTGTATCGGAATTCTTCCCCGGGAACATTTTACGAACTTTGGACAAGTTAGCTTATAGTTTGTCATGATGACATTAAATACTGGAACCTGAAAACGATACTCACACTATCCAGCTTTCTTCCATGGAGTAGGGGGAGCCTTCTGTTTGAACATATTTTAAAACTCTCACATAATTTAAGACTTTCAACACCCCCAAGTTTTTTTTAAGAATTTCACGCAAAATAAAAACTAGCTAAATTTTGGAATGATAAAAAGTTGACCCATTACTCAAAACACGACTTCTATAATATTCAATGTTGCTGCCAATAAAATTTAGGTAACTACCACGACTCGTTCAGGAGCAAACACGGGCCCAGCTTTTCCTTAAAGAGGGACTGCTGCGTTTTCCTCAGCTATGTGTGGGCACGGCACTGCCGCACGTCATCTAGTTGTGCAGCCTAGTCACAAACTAACAAATGGGTCAGACCCAGAACACGGCCAGAAACATGGAGGCCCTCCCTTATCACCAGCCCTCTCCCCACAGAGCAGCTACACTGCTAGGCCACTCAGCCAAAGGAAAGTCTGTAATTAATGATAAAAAGGCTTTGTTTGTCTTACACACACATGCACACACATGCACACATATGAGAATAAGTTTTTTTCTCAGAGACAAGTCGGCACCCAGCTACATATTATCTACGTAAGTAAATAAACTTAGATTTTTGTACTTCCCAGAGTTTATGTTTTTTTATCTCTGAAACATTTTTATCTCCATTTTCAGAGTATGTCTGCTTCTAGATATTAAACTATTGCAAAATAATGAAATTATTTTCTAAGATCTCCAGTGATTAAAACCCAACACAAACCAAATCATTCAGATTGTTTCCTAGAGAAACAAATCTATCAGATTATTAAAAATATATATCCAATTGCTTTAAATTACCTATTTCAATTAAAACTTAAGTGGCTTAGTGTTCTTTTTTCTAACTTTTAAAAAACTAAATTTATATAAAAGAATGGGATTTTACAGCTTTACTATTTTTTAAAGTAAAAAAATTAATTACATATTTGAAATTGTTGAAATTCTCTTCAAATGTTTCTAGGGTACTTTCAAATTTTACTTTATAGATAAATTTTATAAAGTCTTTGGACTTCAGTTATTGAAATGTATGATTAATTAAGCCTTCTTGAGAGATTCTTATTTAACTGTCTTTTTTCTTAAATAGATGCATTCCCCCAGAACTACTGCCAGAGAGAAACCTGATAATCCGGATGATCTTATTTACATCTAATCAAGTAAAAATGCTAAGTGGCATCTAGATATTTTCTCCGTGACATTTATATTGACATCACACAAAATCAAAGTATATGTGATCTTTAAAAAATCATCCAGGCAATTCTGTATGTATATGTTCTCTTTATGATAAGATATTTTTATTTCAGTAGACAACAAGAAGACCTCAGCGAGGACCCAACATCCACAGTATCAGGGCGTGAAACAGTCTAAGGGCAATCATGACATCCAGCAAATACCAAATCGTTTAATTATCTATGTAAGACCTTTAACAGAAAACTACTATGTAAAGTGCGTTCTCTAAACATCTTGCTACGGCTTAAACACGAACTCTACACCCAGTTTGAAATCTGTGCCTGCACATCTCCTGCTGTAGCGGACATGACCGAAAGGGACAGTCCAAACTCTCACTTGGGAGCACCTGTTCTGCACCCCAGTCACACACAAGAACAGAAGTTAACCTTATCCCAGACTTAGCCCATTTAATTTGAGAAAAAATAAACGTGGCTTGCATTTCAGGAGGATTCAGTTCATAATGTGAGAATGACTTCCCAAAGCATTGTGAGCCAGAGAACTTAAAACAAGAACATTATATATGTTAATTTTTTAACTTACCTGATATAAATAATCTTCAAAGACAAAGTAATAATCATCATTGCTTGCTGTCAACTTCACATCCTATAATTAAAAGTAGAGACTACTGAAAAGAACCTATATAAATATGTCTATACTACTAACACACAAATGCGATTCCTAGAATACTAAACTAGTTTCACTAATTTATTATAGTTATAAAATTCTCAATTATATTTTAATCGCTGCTCTAAATTTACTTGACTAATACAGTATGTGACACATCATTTTACATCAAATCGTTGGCACTTTTTTAGATTTGATTAGTAATACCTTAGTATTTATTTCAGTTTCTTCTGCTTTTAACCTAATACTTAGGTATCTTAAAACTGAAAAAGCAGATGTAATCATAACATCCACAAACAACCATAACAATCTGGCCCCAAATTACTGTTCCAGCCTCATCTTCCACTATACAGGTCCACCTTGTTGCCATACCCTCAAAACATCAAAAATCTTTCATGACTTTGTAATTATTCACTTACAAGTCATCACTTATTTCCAAACAAAAAATAAGAATGTTTATCTTTAAGAAGTGCAATCGCATCAGCAAAAAAACATACAGAGTAGAAATATGGGAACAATTTCAAACAAACCTTGAAGAAAACCCTGATAATATTGCTCAGTCTACAAAATTCAACTGTGCTGCTAGGCAAAGTAGCAAAAAAGGAGAAGATGAAATTGGATGACGCTGGAGATATCTGAATGTGTGTTAAGTCTGGCAAAACTTAGACACAGATCCAGAGAAAAGGAAGGGGCGGGTTTTCTACGCCAGAAACAACATGGGCAGAGGTGGAGACCATGCATTCTCAACGGGGATGACACTGCCTCTGAGAGGGTGACAACTGGTTCTTGGGAACCAAAACTTTTGCCTATTAGAATGATTTGTTTATCTCCAAGCTTATCCCTATCCAACAAAATCCTTTCTTTGGTATTTAATTTTTATATTAGAGAAAAATTAGTTACCTTCAGGGGGTAATAAAAAGGGCCGTGGCTGGTGTGGCTCAGTGGATTGAGTGCCGGCCTGCGAACCAAAGGGTCACTGATTCAATTCCCAAGGCACATGCCTGGGTTGCAGGCCAGGTCCTCGGTGTGGGGCACGTGAGAAGCAACCACATACTGACGTTTCTCTCCCTCCCTTCCCCTCTCTCTAAAAATAATAAATAAATAAAATCTTAAAAAATATATAGTCCAGAGAAAACCATTTAATAATTTAGCTTAGGGAGCGTTTGATGATATTCTATATTTAATATTGCCTGTTCCATTTATTCCTTTAACTACTAAAATAACTGACTTTTTTTTTCAGTTAAATTAAAAATGAGTCTTTGCCAAAGGGAGCTGTAATGAAACTTCAAATAATTTTTTAAAATGTTCATTCCCTCAAGGACTGACTTTAATAACGTTTGGGGTTGTTTCAACAAGACCCGCAGAGCTCAACTAACACGAATGAGGAACAATCAGAGACAGATTTCTTCCTAAAAAACTCATGTTGTGGGCAGTCCGGATTGACTCTATCAAAACTTGTATTTAATTCGGCAGACACAAACTGCTCACCTCCTTCTCACAGCAGATTTCCTTTACTGATTCAAACTGAAACGCGTATTGGCAGTAAGGAGAGCTCTCACGCTAGCACTCCGTGGTTTTCTGAGTTCCTCTTGTGAGTCTTCCCTCATCTGAATAGGAAAGGAGCTGCAGGTCTTTGAGCCAAAAGCTCTCTCACGCTGTGGCTCACATAACGGCCTGAGCACAACCACAGCCGTGAAGCTAATAGTTATACTGATGATCCAAATCTACGTAAAACCCTGTGAGAGTCAAAACTTTTCACCAAAAGCCCGTACGCTCTTCTTGCACTGACTGGTGTGGCTCAGTGGGTTGAGTGCTGTCCTACAAACCGAAAGGTCCTCGGTTCAACTCCCAGTCAGGGCACAGGCCTGGGTTGTGTGCCAGCCCCCTATCTGGGGGTGTGCGAGAGGCAGCCAATTGACGTTTCTCTCCCTCTCTTTCTTCTACCCTTCCCCTTACTCTAAAAACTAAATTTACAAGTTTTTAAAACAACAAAAAAAGACTGTATCCCCTTAACTCTCTTACTCTTTGCTTTCTGTACAGCATAGTTGTTGAAAGTGTGGTTGAGAAGTCACACTGTCTGGATTCGAATCTTGACTTTGCTGCTTAATATGTAAATTTAAACAAATTTCTTTAATCCTTCTTTACCTCAGTTCCCTCTTGTGTAAAATGCTAAAAGTAACAGTACTTCCTCTGTTGTCACAACACATGTCAACATGAGGCCAGTGAGTAAGGGAATGATGTCAGTATCAGGTGGGATTGTATCAGTTCATATGCAATTTTTCTTTAAAAAGGAGAGCCAAAACAGCAGGAATTATAAGAACAGAAAGAGCCTTCAGCTCAGCTGCTGCACGAGCACACTTCCCCTAACTGCATTTAAGAAAATTCAGAATGAATGACGGCACGGGGTGCCCCCTCTAGAAAGGCGCGCCCCAGCCTTGCACGTCTCCTCCCCTGCCCGCCTTAGCAGCAGCCCCAGGAGCTCAGCCGACCACCTCCACCTGCATTATTTTAGCACTTCTGTCTACTTTAGTGTTTTTGTACATTTTAACCGCTTCTGCAGGAACAGCCTGCCTGAGCTAACCAATTCATCCTCCAAGCTACCAATTATTGTCTTCGTTAGTGCTGACTACAAATTTCAAAAGCTACCCCCACCCTATTCTTCCTATATGCTCTATTATACCTAACGCATGATTTTGTAGAATGCAAGCTTTTCCCCCAGGAAAAATACATTTATCATTTATAGCCTAAATGCTGGTATCGGCTACTCTTAAGGCAGCTGTCAGGGTCAAATGGCACCCTGTGTAGCGCTGGCACACTGCATGGTGCACAGCGAGCGGCCGTCACACGCCAGTAGTCGTCATGTCTCCCAGACACGTCTTCAGGTCCTCAACGCATGATCTTCCCTTCCCCGTTTCTGAGACTTGCAATACCATACCCTTCTCCTCTATCATACAAGTTCTAAATTTAAAATCCAAGCATTTTAAATAGCTTAATTATTAATCCTGAATCACTGATTTCCTATATCATGCTTACGGCATCTACATCTTAACTTCATATCAGATACCTAAAGTCAAAAACTCAATGTATCCCTGTCATGACACTCAAGGCGTGTTTAACCAATGTGTCTAGAAATTGAACTAAAAACAAAAATGACTTTAATACCAGAGAACAAACAAGTAGATCCTAAAGAATGAGATAAATAAGAAAAAATATTATAGTCTGATATTTCTTTCAGCTGCTTTGTTAGTTTGTGGGGTAAACTTGAATTCATAAGGATAAGAAATGCTTCTCATTCTCTTGATCAAAAACTGGGAGGACCCGGAAAGAGTCACGAGGACAGCTTCAAAGGGAAAGGAGACAGCCCTGGATGGAGCCTGTGAAATCTGAAGGTCAGCCTTACCTGGGTAAGTATAATGATCACTTACACTTATTTTTCAAGGTTGATATGTATCATCATACACAGTGCAGGCTCTGCATGTTAAACACGCTCAAAAATACTTTAATGATAAGAATGTTGAGATGAAAGAACTATGAAAACGTTTACTTACTTTATAAATTAGACTGTCCACCAAAAGGTCATGTTGTATCACATTGGTCTTAAGCTGCTCATAGTATAAGATATCCTGGAGTAAAAAGTAAAACAAAAAATTAAAGGTCAATCACATTTATAAAGTCAAAGTCAGCTCCAACTTTACTGAATAAGAATCATTAACAGTATTATAAACACTAAGAGGATAGGGGCTTCGTTATATTCAAAACTACATTTTCTGTTTGGCCAACACTAGATGCTCAATAAATTATACCTAATCCTGTTACTCAGGATAAGATCTGGCTCCTGATGGGTATTCAATCAATGTTTGTTAATTTGATTAACTATAATTTAACTTTCATAGCAAATACAATAATTATTAAGTAATAACTAGGTACCAGGAACTGTTTTACCTGATATACATGGGTTAACTCATTTAATTCCATACCAACAACATACAATGGTTCAGTGGTTATTATTCCCATTTACATTTGAGAAACTGAGTCTCAGAGAAAAAAGTAAGTTGCTGTTCCAGGCCACAAGGTAGTCAGGTCTGATTCCAGGAAACCAGGCCCTAGAACCCAAGCCAAAGACAGAAGGACTATTCTACTGCCTTTCTTTTTTTTTCTTTAAACATGACTTTTAATCAAGAAACAAATACACAGCTAACTTTATTTTGACATTTTTAAAGACTCGAGCATTTTATTTAATTTTTTCTATTACATCTATCCCCCTTATATCCATCTTCCCCCTGCAATCACCACCCTGTCGTCCGTGCCCATGAGTCCTTCTCCCTTTTCCCTAGATCCCTCCCCCTAAACACTGCCCTCACAGCTGTCAGCCTGCTCTCTATCTGTGAGTCTGTCTCTATTTTGTTTGTTAAGTTCGTTCATTAGATTCCACATATAAGTGAAATCATATGGTGCTTCTTTCTCTGACTGGCTTATTTCACTTAGCATAATGTTCTCCAGGTCCCTCCATGCTGTTGCAAAGGGTAAAATTTTCTCCTTTTTTATAGCTGAGTGGTATTCCATTGTAGATATATCCCATAGTTGTTTTATCCACAAATTATTATAAAATAAAAAGCTTAAACATACTTAATCATCCCTGGTAGTAAAAGTAGTCATATAGCATATGAAAGATATCAGTTTTTTTATATTAGAATATGGTCCCATAATCCTATAAAATCTGATTAATTTTCTACAGTGATAAAATTCAGCTGTTTAATTGAGAATAAGAAATAGAAAGAAGAGAGGGAAGACAGAGAGAAAAAGGGAAGAAATGAAAAAAGTGGAAGGAGGAAGGGAAGGAAGGAGAGGAGGGACTTGAGAATGTAGTCCAGTCAAGCATCAGGTTAGGGCCCTCAAAATAAAGGTTAAAGAAAATGAATGCAGTGGGTAGCAGCTGTGTTAAAGAGAGATGGAAATATCATCTCATTGCTTTAGCTGACCCCTCTGTTCCTCCAAATCCTTCCATTCATGTCTCAGGTACTTTAGCCCTGATTTTCTCCCATATCCAGAAACTGCTTGGCTCCACTAGCACACACCAATCTGTGTGATTCTTCCTGAAGACAGTTCCTCAGACAAGCAAGAGTTGTTGTACGGGGTCGTCTGGGGAAAAGATGAGTATCTGTTGCATAGCTGCCTTGGCTCGGGTTGTTGCAGTCAGAGGGGGCGTTTGCCAGACTATGATACAGTGAGTAATTAATGGGATTAAGGACGTAAGAGCATCCACCATAGACTTTTCTTTTGAAAGTTTAGCTGTAAAAGTAGAGGAGGCAAGAACAAGTATTGATGTAATTAGTTTACAGGTCTGGCAGGAGGAATTTGAATTAGTTTCTTATGATGACTTCTGTTTTCTCTTAGTAGGAGGAGGTGAGGTCTTTTGGTATGGCTGAGAAGAAGGAAGGTCAAAAACACGCACTCTGAAGATCAGGTGAGGTAACTGGGAAAATCAAGGCCAGGTATTGTTGTGGACCCAGGTAAAATGAAGAATCTCATAAAGGAATCACTAAAGAAAATCTTAAATGTTAACACTAGTCTTGGCTATTTCATCACTAAGCAAGTACCCTAGAAAAGTATAAAAATTCTTCTGTCTTCTTTTGAATTACCAAGCTTAAATTAAGCAAAATATTTTAAAATATGAAGAATAATTACTAAATGTACATATATTGACACATACATAGGAGAAAAAAATCAAAGTTAGATAATGTTTTAGTGAAAGTACTAGATAAATTAACTACTAGGAACTTAAAGCATTAGGATCTAATGTCTTTTCATTGAGGTAAAATTTAAAAAAATAGTTTTATGGGTATAAAATATTCCATTTATCTCTTTGACACCTCAACTATGACTGCACTTGTATGTGTAGCTCATTTTAAGTGATTTAAAAGTAAGTGAACAAAAAATTCTCATTTAGTATTCTTGATAAGAAGTATTCTCCCCGTCACCTAATACCACCTACAATTATTTTGGAACTGCTATATAGTTCACTAAGGTCACACTATTACAGCTGAAAATAAGTGTAAGTGATGGAAATTGTTTTATTCAACAAAATCACTATCACTTTTCTGAAAATATGAATTTCTATTTTCAGACTTGTCATTCTGCATTAAGTAAATTAAGAGGACTATTAACTCCCAGGATGCAAGCGTAAAAAAGTGCTTATATCATTATATAAACAATCTTTACCTAGGATTATTACTTTTACTCTAAGGTGACATTTCTGGAAAGTTGTTTTGAAATGGCAGTAGTTAGTTCCGCTGCAACCTCGCCCCTGATCTAGGAAGGGGCAGGTCATCTACCCAAGGAGATCAGGATGAGAGCTACAACCACTTCTACAAGAGCTGATACATTTACAAAAACTGCCCAACACACACTCAAACCTATTTTGTGAACTGTTACTTCTAAGCATCACCACACAAAACTGACAATATATCATTTGGTCTAAAACAACTATGAAATGAATCACAAGCTTTATTCTTTTAAAAAAGCAGCAGGTTATTTTTGGCAGTGTTGTTCACAGAAGTAGATTTAAAACACACATGCGCATGCATGCACAACTTATAAAGGTTAGAAGTGTAGTTTTTATAATGATAATATTTGACTTCTTAAAAACTGATTATAGATTATAATTAATTTGTAACATAATTACATGTAATATGTAATTATTATTATTACTACCATTAACGTGACCACTGATGTGAGGCAGTGTGTTAAAAGACTCAAAGCATTATTTCATTTAATTTTCCCAACCACTCTGGGGTATAAATAGTATTACTTAGATTTAAGTATGGGTAAATTGAGGTTTGAAAAAATTTAAGTAACTCACTCAGTGACATATTTCAAGTAAGCGGGAGAGCTAGGAGTTGAAACCAGGACTATATAATTCTAACACCCCCGCTTTTAACCACTAGGCTAGGGAACTATTACTTTGCATTTATTAAAATATTTAAATGGATGACTTACAAGAAAAAAAGTCCCCACTAAAAAAATTTGAAAACAATGTCTTCTGTAATTTTTCTTTATCAAATCTATTACCTGTTTGTTGGTGATTTCTCTTCATATTCATTATCTTTCCTAAAATAAAATGTTCTTATACTTAAATAATATTCCCACATAGTCTGTCAACTTTTAGACCCGAAAAAATAGTACACATTTCAAAAGTAACTGCAGCCCTGGTCAGGTTGCTCAGTTGGTTGGAGCATTGTCCCATACCCCAAAAGTTTGTGGGTTTGATCCCTGGTGGGGGCGCGTACGGGAGGCAACCAGATCCGCGTTCCCTCCTCACACTGATGTCTCTCCCTCTCTCAAATCAATGCACACGTCTGCAGGTGAGGATTACAGATGAAAAGCCAGTGCAGTGACACAGTACTCATTTGCTTACACTGAGCCACCTGCCTTTATTTCTCCCAATTCTAACATCCCATTGCTACCACACGCCTTCATGATCTAAATCGGCAGACTCTATTTCTTAAAATTTTACTTATTGTTTTGTTGTTGTATAGAAGTTCACACTAGCTATTCATAACAAAAACTTTCATGTTAAGTACGGTGATTGAATTATGTTAATCTTGTTTTCGACTCAAAACTGTAGTGATTTTTTTTTTTAAACTGAAGGCTACTTTATTTTTTTTAATATTTTATTTATTTATTTTTAGAGAGGGAAGGGAGGGAGATAGAGAGAGAGAGAGAAACATCAATGTGCGGTTGCTGGGGGTTATGGCCTGCAACCCCGGAATGTACCCTGGCTGGGAATCAAACCTGGGACACTTTGGTTCCCAGCCTGCGCTCAATCCACTGAGCTATGCCAGCCAGGGATAAAACTGTAGTGATTTCAAAAACAAAAAAGAGGGTAAATATTAGACTAAAACCCCAAAGTATTTCCATTTTAAATAATTCGTCTTTGAAAAATAAATACCAACAGGTCAACTCTGGCTAACCCTGTTTTCTTCTCACCTCGGGCTGACTGGAGATGTTCAAAATGAGGGCCCACAGCTCCGCTCTCAAGGCCGTGGGGCTGCCTTGCCGGACGTACTGCTGAGCGGCCGCACTGTCTTGTTCTGCAAGAACTGGCAACAGTACATGAACATCTCATTAGAAACATCACAATTTAAGAAGTAACACTGGAGTCTTTCATTAATAAAAAGCCTTGGGGAAGCTAACATTCTGTCCTTTTATCTAACGTATTTTCCTCTGCCATGACAGCCTCCTTTCACGCTCTGCATTCTGAGGGGTCCTACTTACAGGCCTGCCCTGTGAGGTGCGGCCTGGTGACAGTGGGGGCTGCTGACCTGGACACAGCTCCGCTTCAACTGCAGGTGCGTGCACCTGAAACCGGGGCTGCACGTACGTAATAATGTCTGGATTCCATGATCAAGTGAAGTCATATCTACAGAAACCCTAACTTTCTTGTGCGTGTTCTAGTAAGTCATGAATGTTGTAGAACGTTGGAATTACTGTGGTGTTTGAAATGTTTATTTGGCTAAGAATTATAAAAGATGTAATCTCTAAGGTGACTTTTTAGTTATCTGCCAAAAACAGAAAACAGGGATTTTTAAAAGAAAACAAAAAAGATCGGCTAACATTTTAAGAAGGCCAAAACTTATTCATAAGCAGTCAAGTTCACAAAATCAATATATTATACTTTGGCTCTCATTTTTGCTTTTGTTTTCTTTGATGAAAATACCAGTTAAGTCTGGAAATAAAGCGCCTTCTTCCAAAAACAAACAAACAAACAAAAATAGACATACAAGACAACTGCTGACATTTGTCTAACCGGACTGTTTTCTCATATTTTCTTCTTAAAAGGAAAGGGAAAAATCTTATACTAAGTGAAAATGATAAAACCAAACCAAACAAAGAGATATGACATTTTAAAAAGAAAACATTTTAATTTACAATTGTGTTTAACAAAGATACCAAATCATACAAATGAAGTTTTTAAACTACACATGACTGAAAAATTGTATCAGGGAGTTTAGAATATGACAATATAATTTCCACAGAAGGTTCATTCTGACACAGACTTATTTGTACTTCCCATTCCAAAGATGAAACAGCATTTACAAAAACAAAGAAAAGGTCTCCAGAAGATGGGGAATAATTACCTCCCAGAACACTAGGAGCCGCTTCAGTTATTAAATCTTCCATTACGAACAGCGCGACGGTTACATTTTCTCCTCAGGCCGGAGCATATTTCCATTAACACTAATGAGAAGTGTGTGGGCGCATCAGAGAGAGAACCAGCCTCTCTGATTTTAAAATTAAATTCTACTGCTGCATGGATTAAGCTAACGTCCTTGAAGAATGTGTGTCTGCATTTATTTCCTTTTAGTGAACCATCTGCGTGCCTCTTTATCTAACATTCACTGATGAGCCAAGATGATGCATTTCCCCTCTTCTGAAAGATTCCCATTGAAGTATTTATGTAGTTAAATATTACTCCCTTCTTAGGTTTGAGGTTTTCAAAGATTACATTTCAGCTGGGGGCATACAACACAGACATTTACTTAGGGCTGCCTCATTTTCAGAAATTATGATAAATATAATCAAAAGCTTACCTTTGTTCCCAATACGTACATGCTCATTTTCAAAAAGTTCTAGAAATGATCAAAGAAAAGAAAATTATTAAACATAAATATGAACAGCCACATTTAGAATATTAATGGGTATAATTTTTCTGATATTGATACATTTTAATTACATTTTATGCTGAATGGCTCTATACAAAACTACAATATTTGTATTTATATACATAAAATCCTTTTTCTAAGTTGTTTAAAGTTTATACAAATTTAAAAAGTTAAGTACATTTAGTCAGAAGAAAATAGCTGACAAACTAATTTTCCTTTGTTAAAATAAAAGAGTATCTTCTCAAAACACAAATCTTTCTGCCCATTCATCTTTTTTTTCCTAAAAAAAAAAAAAAGGCAAAACTTTGGATGACTAGTAGATGTCAGGGTAGAGGTGGGGGGTGCAAAATGGGTGAAGGGAGTCGAAGGGTAAAAATTTCCAGTTATAAAATAAATAAATCCCGGGCATGTCATGTAAAGCATGGTGACTGTAGTTAACACTGTATTGCACGTTTGAAAGCTGCTAAGAGAGTAAATCTTGAAAGCTCTTATCTCAAGGAAGAAGACTGTAGGAATGTGCGGTGAAGGGTACGGTGGTCAGGCCGCAGTGTACCCTAACACCGGGTCAGCATGCTGTGCACCTGAAACTAACACAACATTGCATGTCAGTTACATCCCAATTCAAACACCACGTTGACAGCTTCATTTGCAAAGTCCCACTTCTACTCTAATCTACCAATAAAGCAAATCTAATTTTAAAAGCCTTAATATTACATTGGTTAAAGTACCACTATACAATGCCATTTAAAAAGATTATATGAAAAAAGCAAAGATTTTTTTCTAAAATACCAAATCAATAAAAAAAGACTCATAAACTAGACCAAATGAAAATTTTAAAACTTTTATTCATCAAAAGAAACCATTGAAAGTGAAAAGGTAAGTCACACCGTGGGAAACATCTTTCCAATACATATATGCAGCAAAGGACTTGTATCCGAAATACATAAAGAACTCCTGGTAAGTCAGTAAGAAAAAAACAATGGACACAAATAGGCAAAAGATTCAAACAGGTTTTTTTTACCAAAGAGGATATCCAAAAGACCAGTAAACGTGAAAAGGTGCTTGACTATACTAGTCACAGAGATGTGCGATTAAAATTGTGTGAAATACACAGCTGCTACAACGGCTAACATGAAAAAGACCGACAATGTAAAATGCAAATGAAATGGAGCACATGAACTTCTCATACAAAGGCAGTGGGGGTGTAAACCAGTACAACCACTTTGGAAGACTATTTGGCTTACTAACACTGGATACAGGCATATCCTATAACAAATTAGCAATTCATACTCAGGTATAAAACTAATACATATACACATATATGTCAAGAGACATATGCAAAACTCTTCACAGCAACACTATTGATAATAACCAAAAAGTGGAAACAACTCAGATGATCCAGAATAGAATGAATGAAGGTGGTATATTCATATGATTCATACAGCAATGAGAATGAATGATGTAACTGCACACAATACAAGAGAGTACACACTGTACGATTTCACGTCTATAAAATACAAAATGAGGCAAAACTAACTTGTGGCGTCAGGAGCCAGGAGAGTTGTTTCCCATGGTGCGCAGGGGTGGCGGGGGCAGAGTCTGAAAGCGTGCCTAAAGAGCTTTTGGGATGCTGACAACATTTTATTCTTGATCTGGTTGGAGGTCACACAAGTGTGTTCACTTTGTAAAAATCCTTTGATCTGTTTACTTATGATTTGTGTCCCTTTCAGTATGTGTATCATATCTCTATAAAAGGTATTTTAAAAATTAGGTCAAAACAAACAAAAAAGAATTATAAAATCGAGAGGGGGAGAACTTTTAGCTCTTCTCCTCAGCCCAGAGAAGCTCAGTCTCTCAACTGCCTGCTCTCCTCCTTCCCCCCACCACCTGAGAACAGAGGAGCTGTTAATTGGGTTTGTTAGATTCTACAACAGCAACTAGTTAACCTTTTTTGGTAATAGTCTGACATTATTTAACATAATTGGCAAACTGCAAAAATATATTGGTTTAATTTCTGAACATAATTTCAGACGTACTTTAGTTAAAAATAGAAGTAAACCTAAGTTCATCTAAGTCAAATGGCGATTTAGTGAAGAAAACAGCCAAGTAATTAATGGCTGTAAAAGTATAGTGATAAAATCAACCAAAATATTGATATAAAACTCTCCTTAAACACTACTTACAACATTTGATTCAAATGAAGAGTACTGAAAAATCCCCTTGTATTAAAGAGGTACATGAAGAATATTTAACCTATGCTTTAAAATTAACTGGCCAAATTTAAAACTATTTCAATAAAAGGCACTCATTCAATTAAATTCATATCAGAATTTAATATTTATGGTATGCTCATACAAATAACAAATAAACTCCTGAATATGTAGCAAAAATAGAATCCAAGTTATCTGGATATAAAAACAACAAATTCATAACTGACTGAAATGATATGGGTGGGCCAGCATGCAACACTTTATAAACAGTAAAACTAAAGCTGTCTAATAAATAATTCTATGAGCCATTAGTTTTTTATGTGCCAAACAACATAGTCATTTAGCACATCAGCTATTTTCAAATTTTTGTACGTTATTTCAGCTTTTCAAATTTAGATCTCATACATCTCACTGCACCTTAAATGCAGTAGTGATGAATTACTTTAAGTTCACTGATATTTTCTTTTGTGCTACCTTCCCCCCCCAGTTCTAGAACTGTCATTTCAAACAGCTCCAGAGACTTCACTGCTCCCTTCAGTCCGGCTTAGCACCCCCACCGCACCCACACCCCTGGTTTCACATGCCCACAGGTCCAAAACTCTTGCCCAACATGCGGCTCAAGAACCTTCCAGCTCCAGTGAACTCCAAAATGCAGCTCCCAAACTCAGCTTTGGAACTGCTCTTCCCAGTGCAAGCTTAAGGCCTCTCTGACTGAGCTTCAGGTTCAAGTTCAGTTTCAAGTTCTGAAACTGCAATCCAGCAGGAATGCTGGGTCCCCTGCCCCCATGATTCCAGGGCTCTGTGCCTTCCCACGGATATGAGCTCCACACCCCAGAACCAGAACAGCCCATCCTGAACCACTTCCAGAGTCCTCACCCTCAACCCTGAACCTAGACCCGGAGAAGCCTCACTCCCTGTTGGTGTGGGCTTTTGTCTCCCTGGGTAAAGGATGTCTGTCTGCTTGTGGTACCCCTACTGCCACCATCTGAATTAACAGGTGGCGGTGTCTGTGGTGGTCAGGTGCTCCAGGTTTAGAGAGAGCCTGCTGCTGGAATTCAAGTCTCAGTTTTGCCACTTGCTAGCTGTGACACTGGGAATAAGCACTTAGTTTCTGCCCACCGTGGAGGGTGCCCTTTAATATAGGGTGGTTATGTAAGATGCTTTCTTCGTTGAACATTAGGACTCAATAAACAAGGGCTGGTGTTGCTACTGTTGTCACCATTGATGATGATGATGATGGTAAATTCATAATCCTCTGGAAAGAGCACTATTATTCCCATGGAAGAGACGAAGAAACTAAGTCAGAGAGGACCACAGAGAAGGGAAATGGTCCACCAGGATCGGAATGGTGCCCACCGCTGTGGCAGTGTGTGCGCTCGTGTGCGCATGCAAGTCTCCGTGTCCCCCACGGCTCCCCTTCTGGGTGGGCCCTTCCTGCTGCCGGCAGCCTTGCGTGCCCCTGCCCTGTACTTCCTGTGCTTGCCTGTTTGTTTTTGAGCCCGGCAACAGAGCCCTTTTGTGCTACAAGAGGAAAACTTCTCTGGCTATATCATTCGTTTTTATTAATCATATTTTCAATTTATTAACCTTTAGGATTATTATATCAAGAGTTAAAAAAGCTGGGAATGCAGACTGGCATAGCCACTATGGAAAACGGTATGGAATTTCCTCTAAAAACTAAGAGCAGAACTGCCTTTTGACCATCAATTCCACTGTTGGGATTATATCCTAAGAGCCCTGAAACACCAATCCAAAAGAACCTATGTATCCCAATGTTCTTAGCAGCACAATTTACAATACCCAAGTGCTAGAAGCAACCTAAGTGCCCATCAGTAAATGAGTGGATCAAAAAACTATGGTACATTTACACAATGGAATACTATGCAGCAGAAAGAAAGAAGGAGCTCCTACCCTTTGCGACAGCATGGATGGAACTGGAAAGTATTATGCTAAGTGAAATAAGCCAGGAGGTGAGGGACAAATACCATATGATCTCACCTTTAACTGGAACATAATCAACAAAAGAAAAAAGCAAGCAAAACAGAAATTAAGAACAATTTGACAGTAACCAGAGGGGCAGTGGGAGAGGACAATGGGGGGAAAGGGTTTTCAGGAACTACTATAAAGGACACAAGGACAAAACCAAGGGGGAGGGTGGAAGCAAGGGAGGGAGGTGGGTTTGGCTGGGGTGGGGGGAGGGGTGGTGGTGGTGAGGGAAAATGCAGACAACTGCAATTGAACATTAAAATAATTATTTAAAAAAAAATAAAAAATAATACCTATCCTGAAAAACAAGATTTGTATGTGAAATACTAAGCTCCCTGGTTCAAAGTTGGTGCTCAACAAACAATAAATTCCTTTCCTTCCCATAAAAGAAAAAGAGTTAAAAAAGCTATTGTATGTTTATACAATGGAATACTACTCAGCCATAAAAAGAAAGGAATCCTAACCTTTTGCAATAGCATGGATGGACCTAGGGAAGAATATGCTAAGTGGAATAAGCCAGTCAGAGAAAGACAAGTACCAGATGATTTCACTCACATGTGGAATCTAATGAACAAACTGAACTAAGCAGCAAAATAATGACAGACTCCTAGATGGAGAGTGGGCTCACAGTTGGCAGGGCTGGGTGGTGGATACGAGAGCTCTGGTAGTAAGGGGTGGAGGATTGAGCAAAAAAGAAAAAAGGAGAGGAAAAACCATGGGCACAGACAACAGTGTGAGGACTGCTGGGGGGAAGGGGATGGAGAGAGGTGTCGGAGGGTAGGGGGGACAAATGGGGATGGAGAGAGACTCGACTTGGGGAGGTGAACACACAACACAGTGAACAGATGGTGTGTTGTAGAACTGTGCCCCTGAAAACTGTATCATTTTGTCAACCAGTTTCACCTTAAAAATTCAATAATAAGGGAGGAGGGAGAAAGTTTGATTTTAAAATTTAAATAATCACAAATGAGAATAAGTTAAATAAGCAGAAGAGAGTAAAACAACTAAGAAAAAAGAAAAAAGAAAAAAACTGTAATGGAGGCCTAATCTAATACATATTTTTATTTGGTCTTCAAGTTTTACTTCCCGTTTCTGCATTTTCTTGCTTAAAGCCTTCTTTGGTTCTTACATTAAAATGTTCTCCTTAACCTCTTTCTAATAAATGGGATCACTAAAGGTCACGAACTTATGTGTGACTCTCTGACACACAGGGCCTGGACTCCCTGGCAATCCAGTGGCCACCTGGACACCTGACTCTCTACTGGGCAGAAAGCTCATGCGCAGGCACTTAGGAGCTGCTTCTTGAGTGAGGTCTGGGCAGAGAGGGAGAAGGAAACCTGTCCTGGGCTCAGATTTTCTAGAAAGTCTGTTCTGTGACGTCCAGGTTCGGCCCAGTTAAATATTAAATGCACTGCACTTCCATTTTCCATTTGCTAACATTTTCATTGTTAGATCATTTTTCATAAAGCTGGCTTTACAAAATGGAATATGTAAACCGGAGTACCCTACTCTTTTAGTTTATTTTGGCTCTGAAGTAAATATCTGAGCAGATCATACAATGATCAAGTGAAATGTTTGGGGTTCCTCAGAACATACAATCATTGTCTAATGCTAAAGTATTTGAACGTATTTATTTCAAAGACTGCATATAAAAGAACAATAAAAGTTTCATTTTAATTAGCTATGACTGCTGAGTCTTAGTAACCAAAGAATCAAAAGTTATCAGCCAGTTCTTTCTTATAAAAGTGGATGATACTTTCAGGTGGTAACAGTGTTTGATCACTGGAAGTGGTGTGAAATGAAAACAAAAAAAGACTACTGAATTTAATTATTTGATTATGTGAAGTACAATAATTTTGCTTTCTAGTACAATTCTCTAGTCCAAGAATAAGAAACCCAAACAAGTCAGAATCAGAATTTCCAATCTGTAATCTATGTTTCTCAAAAAATGCTCTGAGAACCACTATGTCAACAGACATATTTATATCAATAGATCTTGCGCAGGAAAAAAGGTTCTCTGGTAAAATGTGACTAGGAGAGACCAAGCTAAAAGTTTTCTTAGGACTTCTCATAGTCTTTAGGATAGGAACACACACTATAACCATATATCTTAAAAAGGCATAGCACAGCCATTACTAAGCCTTCTTTGGGAACAAGATCCTCTGTTTCACAGGGTATACGATGAATGCTTTGTGGAACGCACTTCAGGAAATGCTGCTCCAGATGAAGATGCATTTTTCTTTCAGAAATAACAAGCTGAGAGAATGTCTCTTTAGCAGAACTCTCATCTAATAAGATTCATTACTATGTGTATTCAGACAATAATATCAGAAATATGACCATCCTCCTTTCTCATGAAAGAATGCTGATTCTGCTCAGCCTTTCCCTCTTAGCGTGGGTCTTATAAATGGTTTCCAATATAATAAGTGTGTGTGTGTGCGCGCGTGTGTGTGTTTAAAACAAATGCGTGTTCGTGAGTTTACAGGAATAACAAATATGCCTGATTTTTAAAATCACTGTAAAATAGTGATTCTATATTACAAAGATAAGGACTCTTCTCCTGACTCTTATATAAAAGCTGACAAGTTAGAAAGTGAGAAATGCACTTCAAATATAAAAACTGAACAACAGCATTGATAAAACATAGGTGGTACAGGGTTTCAAAGATGATTAGGAAGTGAGGGGAACATTATGTAAATTATATGATGTCTAACCACTAAGCTATACACCTGAAACCAACACATAATAAAAAAATAAAATAAAATATATTTTTGAAAAGATGAGTAGGAAGGATCTAGTTCCTTTAAGTCATACTTAATCCTAAATATAAAACTTGTCTCTAGCCAAAACAAGTATTAGCACCATTTTCGAAACATTTAGCGTTACATTTCCAATTTTACCAAACCCCATTCTTTCCAAGTAATACTGTTGCCTAGCAATCTCAAGTCAGGCAAAAATCTCGGCACTATACCACTAAAAACAATCTCATTGATGAACATGAATTCACCCCAATTTTTAACAGTCTTGCTTTGAGAAGTCAAGAGAGCAAAAATAACCGCATCAACTGAAGAGATTTACAACTTCCTCCAGGCAGACTTAGTGCTCTCTCCTCTACGCCAAATGCCCCTTGTATGCAATCATAGCCAATGCCACGTGATTCTTATCTGAATCTTATACTATATGCTCCCTCAAAGCAAAAATTATGTCATATCTGTGGATTCACTAATCTCTGGCCCTTATCAGGACCTCACACACATTTGCTGTAGGTACTATGAGGGAACCAAACAAGAACTACCATATTTTGCTGTGTATAATGCACTCCCCCGTATAATGCACACTCATATTTCCCCCCCAAATTTTTAATTAAATTTATTCATCTATATTTAGAAACAAAACCGATTATCATATTCCAGAGTATTATTTTGCATACACATATCATTATTGCTTTCTAGAGTTACGCTTTTAACTCTAGAAAGCCATATAAGCATAAATAAAAGAATTAAAAACATTTATACAGATACAGAATTAGTACTACCCATGTATACTGCGCATCCTTATTTTTCCCTCAAAAATTTGGGCAAAAAAGTGCATATTATGCATGGCAAAATACGGTATACTCTAGATTAAGGGAAAAAATTAGGTTTTCTAAAGCAGAACTATTATAAGGTATAGAATAATTTAAAATAATGCTTAAGGATTAATTTCAAAAGTGAAAAACATAAATATCATTCAAGGTTATATTACTATTCTTTTCCCTTTTGTTAGTTCTATACGGCTGTCACGGGCCATGAAAAGAAGTATAAGGTAAGATACCAGCTGTCTTAGCCTGTTCAAGCTACTATAAGAAAACCACCACAAACTGGATAGCTTACAACTAACAGAAAATTATTCCTCCCAGTTCTGGAGGCTGGACATCCAAGAACAGGGTCCCAGCACAGTCAGGTTCTGGTGAGGACCCTCTTTCGCGTTGCGCTACCAACTTTTCACTGTGGAACAGGCTGGGGAGCTCTGCTGGGCACCTTTCATAAAAACACCAGTTCTCATTCATGAGGGAGGACTGCTTAGTTTTGAATCTTGGTTCCACCAGTTACTAAGTTTGTGACTTTGGGCAAGTTATTTAATATCCGCACTTCTCCAACTTTAAAATGGTGGCATTACTTCTAACTCACATCATACAGGAAAATTAAAGCCCTAACGCAATGCCACTGCTTACCACTGTTCACCACTGGCATGACCGAACAGAAGACGGAGTGCACCGGGCACTCACAGGTGCACGGAGCCACCTTGCTCTCGCACACCGTCAGTGGAAGGGGAAGCTGGTACTCCCACTTTGAAAATTCTTTGGCAGTTAGTCATCTACTGAAGCTGCACTTATGCAAACCCGAGGTCCGAGAAATTGTATTCCCAGATGTACGTATATTCCACATATATTTACCAAAAGACACATATTAGAATGTTCATGGCAGCCGTATTTGTAACAGCCCCACAATTGAAGCTTCCCAAATACTCAATGCTAGAATGGATAAATAAAAGTGTCTGGTATGTTGATATAATAGACATTATAATGCAAAAAAACCCTCAAAAGATTTATACACACAGCAATATTGCTAAATCTCACAAACACAACACTGAACAAAAACAAGTCAAACATCAAAGAGGACACACTGTGTGTTTTAATTCATACAAATTACAAGAACTGGTAAAACTCATCTATGCTGGGAGGAATCAGAATAGTGGTTATTTTTGACATGGGGGAATAAAGATCAAAAGAGGTTAAGAAAGGGCTTCAATTTATCAATCTGTATGTGTCCAATTAATAAAAATTCATTGAGCCATTCCCTTATGATATATTCTTTCTCCAAAACATTAAAAACTAGTAAAGTTTTAACAGCAGTAACAAACATACCTTCTAGATTGCTGAGAAATTAAAATGAGATAATACACATATAACACATAGTATATGCTCAACAACTTTATTACTAGATTTGCTATTATTAGTAGTAAGTAGCCAACGTCCTTATCTGATAGAGGAGGAAACAAGCGCAGAGACGTGAAGCGACCTGCCCACCAGGCAGCGGACCAGTGGCAGGCGAGAGGCCCGAACGGCTGCCCAACACCGTCCAGTACTATCTCCACTCCACTGCAGGCCTCTGTGTTTTAAGTCAGTTTTTACTTCCTTTTTATTATAGCTAAACATCAATCTCATCTTTTATAAAAAACACATTGTGCTTTTGCACAAAAAGAGAAGAGTTAGGGAAATTTTCTGAACAAGGTCTAAAAGATACTAATTTTAAAGCCTAAGTTTATTTTATGTGGAATGCTGTGTTTACTTAATTTGATGATATGAAAAATAATAAAAATAAATAGTGATGGCCAGTAAAGGGAAATATGAGTGCTGTCCATGAAGATTTTGCCAACGAAATAACTTACATATGTCTAATGACTTCTCAAAACTATTGTAAGACCTTCAAATAAAGACACGATCTACAATATACAGGACTCCATTCAATAATTAATAGTAACCCAAGAGAGGCAGAAGCATGCTTTGTTTTCAGACATAAAAAGGTCACTAGATTCGGAAATGACAAGATGAAACCGAACCTCACTCTCATTCATCAGTACTTACATGCCACATGGGAGAGGTACTCACCAGGAGGCACTTGTGTAGCATCATCTATACCTAGTTGTCCTGTAGTTAAGCCGAGCTCTACAAATAATTCTTTCTGAAAAAATAACATACATAGAATTAACGTACATTTCAGACTTTGCTACTGTAAAAAAAAAAATCACCTTCACCTAAACATCAGCATAAATAAAAATCACAATATAAGAGGAATTTTTGCTTCCTTCAAAAATCTAAAGAAGAGGACATTATGGAACCCTTAAATAGTAATACATTAATTTGAAATTAAGGAGCAGAATAACCATAATTTTTTACTACATGTATTACTATGTAAGACATTTATTTACATGTGAAACAAACATGAATAGAAAAGAAACACACTTTTAGGAAAAATTAATGTATAACGGGAAAAGAAACTTAAATATAATAGTTCTCCAACTGTAGAGCCTTTAGTAGTATTTTTCCCTCTCCTTTCTTCTGCCTGAGAAAAATTTTTACTTTGATGCCTTATGACCAATAGGAGTGATGCAATATATTTTTTAAAAAACTGTTTTTAATATAGTTCTTGATTGTTTTTCTTTTTTAGGTAATAAGCTAATCAGTAAAGTAAGAAATGACTTATCCTTTGAGGAAAGGTCTACTAACATTCAAATCTCTGGAACACACATACACACACACACACACACACACACACACACACACACACACACACACACTATGTGCAGCAACAGTCAACTTTATCTTCTAACATCATTGTCTAAATTGCCAGTGTGATTCTGCATCTGTGCTTTCTATGGTTCTGTACTTCACTCAGCTCTTAATTAACTATACACTGAAATATCCCAAACAACTTAAATTAATTTTTAAGTAAAATTAGACTATCAAGTACTCTGCTAAAATAAGAATAAATTAGATTTATTCTCCAGACTTCCTCTACTTACCCAGTAATGTCCAGGGAAAGTAATAATGTTTGTCTGTTATTTTTAAAATATATAACAACCCCATGTTATTTGTATTATTTTTCTTCCCTAAGTAATTAAATATTTCTATTAATATTTGCCTCAGTGTTTTGTTACTATTTAATTGCTAAAACCAAACTTCCTTCTCCTTTACAAAATAAAATTAGTTTTAATCCTTCCCAATTACCCATTATTATTTAAGTTAGTACTTTATTAATGTCCCTCACAAGATAGTTTTTAAGCCTAATACGTACACACATTTCATTTTTGTATTGATTTTAAATAACTACCATTTCTTTTTTTAAACTGTTGTTCAAGCACAGTTGTCTCCATTTTCACCCCACCATGCCCCCCATCCCACCCGTCCCTGCCTCCCACCCTTGAGCCCACCCCTTGGGCTTCGCCCACGTGTCCTGTATATGTGCTCCCTGATGGCCTTTCCGCTGTGATCCCCTACCCCCGTGCTGTCAGTTTGTTCGTTATATTTCAATTTTTAACTAAACTCGATTTTTACCTATACTTTAAAAAAGCACTGCATCATATGTCACCAATATTAGATTAAAGAGGTAAACACTTAATGTTGTTCTTCCATTTTCAACCACTGTCTTCCATTTATTTTTAAACTCTCTCTTCATTGAAATCATTAGATTTAATGACAATGTATTTGATTTTTTAAAATAACTTTGATCTTCATACTTGAGAGGGACTTAAGTACTACAAACATTTCAGTATTAGGTTCTATAACCACCGTGGAGAATTGTACTTATGCTAAGACACGTTAGGAGCATAAGAAGCTCTGAATATCCACTTTCTACTTCAGTGCTCTGGGCTGCTGTTTACTCCATATCAGTAGACCTGGCCTTCCTTCCCAGATTTCCTTCAAAATTCCCAAGATGCCATGCCTTCTAGGACCCCTTCTTTGATATTCCAGGCTGATTTAGGCAGCTCTCTATGCACGTGTTACCGTTTGTCAACCTCTACACGCCCATAGACTCACATCACATCAAAATGATCTTGCTACTGTCCATCTCCCCACTATCCTGAGGTTCTCGGGACACAGACACTGTCTCAGACACATCAGAACCTAGCGTGGGGCTAAGTGACACACAGCAGGGGCTCCATAATATTAAGCCACACTACTGAGCTTCAGTTCCACCCAGCTGTCTCTACATGACTGAATGGGTAAACAGAAATTCATCAGCAACTTCATGTTAGAGATAATACATTTCAGTTTCAAGGAATTTCCTTTTACCATGGATGAGTCTACATAACACTGTGAACTAGATTTAAGGGCCATCCAGTATAAGAACACAAGACTCACTGAGCTTCACCAAGTTCAATGCTCATACAGACAGACCAGGGTCACAGACAAACCATGCATCCTGCAGTCAGTGTCATTAAATACTCAGGCCATGTAAATCAGGGAAGGCAGGGACAACCATCCCTACTGACCACAGGAAGAGAAGGACGAACTACACTCTTAGTGGGTGTAGCCACAATTTCTTGAAAACTAGTCACAGGTGTTCGTTCTTCAATAACTAAGAACGAATCCACGTCAGCTCCAGGTCCCTGCAGACAGACACATGATGTAATCCGTCCCGCTCACACACATGCTGAGCCTCTACACACATGATCCACTCGCCCTGCTTCTTTATCAGCAAACTCCTTCCAACCCGTTCAAATGGCAGTCTCTCTGAGAAGACTTCCCACCACTTCCAGGGGAAGAATCTGCACTTTTTCTGTACAGCCATGGCATTCTGTACAAACCGCTACTAACACTGGCCTTTTAACACTTTTAAAAAAAACTTACTTCTTAAAAATTAACTTTTTATCAAAGTTGTAGTAGTCACGGTTAACAGTTAGAAACTGCTTACCATGTTCCACTAACTGGGTGGCTTTAAACAACTGAAACTTATTCTCACAGTTCAGAAGGCTAGAAGTCCAAAATCAAGGTGTGCCCAGGGCCATGCTCTCCCTGACGGCTCTCGGGGAGGAGAATCCGGTGCATGCATTTCTCCTGGCATTTGATGCTGTTAGCAATCTCGGGTGTCCCTTGGCTTACAGATGTGTCACTCCAATCTCTGCCTTCATTGTCGCAGGACATTCTCCTTGGGACTATCCTTCTGTGTCTCTTCTCTTCTTACAAGGACACTAGTCATATTGTATTTAGGGCCCACCCAACTGCAATAATCATCATCTTGACTGCATCTGTGAAGACCCCATTTCCAAATGAGGTCACATTTATAGGCAGGTACTGGGCGGGTAGCACTTCAACATACCTTTTGGGGGGGGCACAATTCAACCCATAACTTTCATCTTAAGTTGTTGATCTGCACAACACCCCTATGAGATATTATTATCCCTATTTCACAAATAAAACTAAAGCTCAAAGGCAAAAAGACTTGCTCAAAGTCACATACCCAGTAAGTGGCAGAGCAAGAATTTAAACCCAGGTGAGTTGGCTTCAGAATCTAATTACCTATATTGTCTCTGCATGTGGCAAAGAAGTCAAATCAGCTAAAAGACTTTTTTTACAACAAAATAGCAGTCCTCTATCTTACACTCCTTCCCAGGACACACACACACACACACACACACACACACACACTTGGCCCACTATCCAGGGACGACCACATTCAGCTTATTCTTCTGGCATGTATCTGCATATTTCAAGTAACAAGTGTATATTGCTATTTTTAATGTACCAGTTTCAGATATCTATTGATTTTTTGTGGTAAATGAGGTGTTCAACTCATATACTTCTTTCCATCATTTCAAATATATATCAATCCTTGATGAAATCTATAAAGAGTTTGCATTATTATAACTATTTAAATATTATTCACTGCTGAGCAACATAATGTTATAGATGTGTTCCCTTTCATACTTTCTTTCATTCAATTCCTAATTAAACTACTTTGTCACTTACAGAATTTTCTCTAATCATTTACCTCTTCCTACACCCTGTAACAAGTCTGAAATGACCCTCCTTGATATAATTCTGTTTGTGGTCAAATGTGTCAGCTCTTCTCTGCTTTTGATGTTTCCTTGTAGGCACTCATCTCAGAACCCTCCAGCCTCCTGCTCCCCTCTGGAATCGCTCCACTCTGGTCCTGTTATACCGCCTCTATCCTAGAGCTCCTCATCATCATTCTGGAAATTCTTCTTCTGGCAGTTTGAAATCCCATTCCCTAAGTGCCCTATTTGTTCTTTTTATTTATGACTTTATTTTGGAGCACTTGTACCAATAGCTCCCTGAATAACAGTAAATATTTTATTTTAGATTACATACATCTGAAAATGTCTACTCCAACTTCACATTTGATTGACTGTTGGTTACATACAGAAGTCTAGGCTAAAATCATTTGAATTTTTAAAGGCATTATGGCAAACTCTTCTGGCTTCTAGTCTTGCTGCTGAGAAGTCAGATGCCACTCTCTGACTCCTGACATTTACCTGCACTGTTTTTCTCCCACAAAAAGTTTCCAGTCTTCTTTCCAGGCGCCTTGCTATGGCTCTTCGTTCGTTCATGGCATCGGGTACTAGGTGGGCCTTTCCATACTGGAGACTCCTGTCTCTCAGTTTGGGGACCCTTACCCCTGTTTTCTCTTTCTGGAACTCCTACTGGCCAGATGTTAGCCTTCTGGATTGATCCTCTAATTTAAATCTTCCCCCCTTATTTTTTATCTCTGGCTTCTTGCTTTTGCTCTGCCTTCTGATAGATTTCCTCAGCTTTGTTTTTAACTATTATTCTGATCTTTTTGATTCCTAAATGCTCTTTTTCATACTCTACTGTTTGTTTTGTTAGTTTAATAAAATTCTGTTCTTGTTTCATAAGTAGTATATTCTCCCTGAGAACATTAATGGTTTCTTTAAGTTGTCAATTGGAAAGAAGTAGTTAACAAAAGGCTCTAGCAGGGGTGTCCAATTTTTGGGTGTCTCTGGGCCACACTGGAAGAAGAGTTGTCTTGGGTCACATATTAAATACTCCAACACTAACGAAAACTGATGAGTAAAGAAAAGGTTTTTAGTAAACCGACGGTTTTGTGACCTCATTCATAGTCATCCTGCGCCACATGTGGCCTGTGGGTTGGAAACCCCTGCATAAAGATGACCTTGGGTTTACCTTCTTGTGCACTGCCACCTTGAAAATGTATTGACTCACACAAATACACATACAAATGTGAAAAGGAATGCCGGCTGTATTAATAAGCAATGTTACTTACTGGGAAAAAATATGACCCTTGGCTGATAAGTTACATCTGAAATGGAACACTATGAATCAACTATAGAAATCTATTGGAAAACACATGCCTCATGCCACATGTGGTGTCCCTGGAGGGGACTTGGAAGTTATACTCACATTCGTATAATGTTCGTATACTTAGGTTCAAATGTGAGTATAACCTCCTCCTATTGTGTAAGAGACTTTCCTGTGTTACACCTATATGATTCATCACTTCCAACTGCAAGTACCCCTTGTGCGACTCGGAAGGACCATCTGGTTGGCTGTAGACTCCCAGCAAAGAGCTACCTGCTAGTAGCTTGCTGATATACTGACATGCTGTGTTTTGTCCTGTATCACTCTACAAATTTAGGTGAAGCTGGTGTCAGCTTATGGCCTACTGTACCTTGTGAGTGTGAATGTAAATTCAAACCTGAAACAACTACTGGTGGTCATGATAAGTGTTTATTCTATAAATTGACTACTTTAACTATTATTTTTTTATTTCTCTGTTTTAGTTTTAGTTTTGTTTCTCTGCCTTTCAAATGGGAGGATTTCAAGTTCCTGGAGATCCCAGGCTGGCCATTCACATTTAGGAATGAGGCAGAAAGAAAAGGACTGGAAGGTCCGTCTGCCAGGACTGGGAATAGAGTGCGGTGGGCTTCCTTCTGCGGTAATGTTGTAGCCAGCCAGCTATCTTTTCATAAGGGTTCTCCAAAGCTCTGGCAGTCTTTTCTCTGGTATTCTAGAGTTGGTGGGGAATGAGGAAGGAGAGAACTGGGTAGGCGTAGCGGTAGTGACTGGAGATAATCTCACCATTCAGCCAACTTCCATTTAACTCCTCTGTTTTCAGTGCAGCACCTCATTCCTGCCCTGCTCTTTGCCTGAGGTCTCCAAGTTCACAGCCTTTCCGATTCGTTTCTCCGGTCTCTGGTGGGGCAGGAGGAGTCACCTGACTCTGCAGGGTGGTAGGAGCCTGGGGGTCTAACCTGGCCTAATACAAACAGTCATGCAATCTCCATTTTCAGCCCTCTGATTCACTATGGCCTTCTATAACATGCAGTTTCTCTAATTCTTGAGCCTTTCCAAACTTCTGCATAGAAAATCATCCGACTTCTTGTATCAGTCAAGTGTTCAATAAGGAAACAGAAACCATAGCCCATATGTGGACACAGAAAAACAGAATTAGCAAAGGCAGAAAGCAACTCTGACTTCCAGGCTGAAAGAGACTGAACCGCAAAGGGACTAAAAACTCAGGAAAAGGACCCCCACCCTCAAAACAGAGATTCAGGCCTCTATGAAGAGGGAGTGTGTGCCTTAGGCATGCGCGGACCAGGGGCGGTAAAGACACGTGCCCGAGGACACAGGCTGGAGCGGACTGGTCGTGGGCTGCCGCAGTGGGTGTTAGCGGGCCTTCCACATGCTGGCCTGTGGGCTCCCACACTAGGGAACCTGGAAAGGAAGGCTCATTCTCCTGCCACACTGGGCTTGCTGTTTCCTCCAGAAGCCTCTACTAACAAAGCCTAACATCAAGCCAGTTGGCAAGAAAGAAATGTTTACAAGGCCCAGCTCCAGGATAACAGCAGAACAGAAAAAGATAGATCTGGAGTTGGAGGATAATCAAGTGATTACTGGCACACTTCTTGTCCATACCTCCCGTTTTCTCCCAGTTAGGCTTGAACTTCCGCTTCCATGTTGAAGTCATTTATCATTCTCCCATCAGCTCTCTATCTTCACACATGAAACCTCTGAGTTACAAATTGTTTGCTTTAACACACACAGTATTTACATTTCTGTGCTCCTTATTGTTTTGCAATGATAACTTCTCAAATCCACCATCGGTAAATCTCATTTTTCTGTAATGACTCTCTACTTTAAAATGAGCTTCCTCACCCAACGTGAAAGTCTCCAGGGCAAAGACAGTCTCGTCCTTACTTTCACTCATCTCCTTCAGTGCCTCACCATGTTAGAAGCTCAGTAAATGCTGGCTGAAGTAAATGAAATGTACTTTTGTTTAAAAATTTTAGGAAATTCACAATTTGTTTCAACCTGTCTTACAGACATACATCAGGCACCCAAATCCCAACAAGCTGTCTTGTAAATCTATGCTGTTTACTAAGATGGGGAATAAGCAAAACCATTTATAGCTCAATGCAAGTTCATCTTCAGTCCTACTAGAAGAGCAACTTTTTCTCTATGTAACATATTTACAATAAAAAAGAAAGCTTCATTTTATTTATTTAATGAGTAGATTGTCCCATTGTTTGGATATATGCTACACTAAAATATTTTTCTAATGGCTATCTTCTAAACTATGTTAACTTATTTTTAGATGCCTATACTTACCAATTCAGGGATGTCTTTTACTTTCAGTGGAACTTGAATTAAACCCAAATGAGTCCTGAAACTAAGATAATCACCATTTTCATAATTTGGGTTGCGAAGATTAATTAATACCTTAAAAAACAAATCCAACAAAATTGATTAGTTTTTAATAGGATGTCTACACTTATAAAATGGGCAGTGATATTCTTAGTGTATCATCACAAAATTAAAAGCTATTTGGGGTTATGCATATACTTTAACAACATCCTAAAATACTATCAATTTGTACTAAAATGTGAAATTACTAGAGACATGATTTTAATTAGGATGGCTTAATATTGCAACTGATAATCTACCATATAAAACTAAAAAGAATTTAATAATAAAGAAAAGCTTTCTGATGATAAAGAAAAATTGTTTTATTATAATAATTTACCAGGGAAGGTGATAGAAAAATAAAAATTGCTTGATTGTAATATTTACCAGGAAAAATTTTAGAACCAACCCTCTTTTAAAAACAAATATTGATTGGCATTCTCCTAAATTCTAGCATTCTCCTAAATTCTATTGAACAAGCAACGCCTAGCTGAGTGAACCCTGTGCCTCTCACTAAGTGGCCCTAGGCCTATTACTAGCAACAACTGGCCTTGGTTAACAGCTTGGCCTTGCCTGGGCACCTCTAAGCCAAGAAAGTAGCATCTATCTGCAGATCTCTTGGTGGCTTATGCCAGGTGGCCCCAAGCAGATCACAGGTGGTGGCTGACCTTGGCCTGCACCTCCCAGGAGGCCCCAGAGCCAGTATACCCAGTGGACAGCTTCAAACCACACCAAAGCACCACCACCCAACCACCTCCACAATGACACACTCAAGGGTCAGACTCAATGGGCAGTGGGCAGTGGTCACAGGCAGTCCTTGCAGCTGACTGGCCTAGTAAATCCCTCCTACTGACATGCCAATTGAGCAATCAAGGCTCAATTACGAGAGGAGGTTGTGCACAGCCTTGAGTACCCAGCTTGGGTGAAAGGGGAGGCTGTGCCACTGGACCCTACAGAACACATACTACATTAGGTCACTCTTCAAAGCCTGGGAGATGTAGCAACTCTACCTAATACATAGAAAGAAACACAGGGAGGCTGCCAAAATGAGAAGACAAAGAAACACATCCCAAATGAAAGAACAGAACAAAATTTCAGGAAAAAAAAATGGAGACAAGCAATCTACTAAATGCAGAGTTCAAAACACTGGTTATAAGGATGCTCAATGAACTTAGTGAAAACCTCAAAAGCATAAAAAGGAACCAGTCAGAAATAAAGGATGCACTAATTGAAATAAAGAATAATTTATAGGGATCAACTGATGAGTGCATGAAGCCAAAAATCAAAAAAATCAGCAATTTAGAATATAAGAAAGCAAAAAAACCACCCAATCAAAACAGCAAAAAGAACAAAGAATCCAAAAAATCAAGATGTGTAAGGAACCTATGGGACAACTTCAAGTATTCTAACATTCGCACCATAGGGATCCCAGAAGGAGGACAGAGCGAGATACTGAAAACCTATTTGAAAAAATAATGACAAAAAACTTCCCTAACTTGGTGAAGGAAATAGACATACAAGTTCAGGAAGCACAAAGAGTACCAAATAAGATGAACCCAAAGAGGCCCATACCCAAACACATCATAATTAAAATGCCAAAGGTTAAAGACAAAAAGAGAAAATTAAAAGCAGCAAGAGAGAAACAGTCGGTTACCTACAAGGGAGCTCCCATAAGACTGTCAGCTGATTTCTCAACAGAAACTTTGCAGGCCAAAGGGGATTGGCAAGAAATATTCAAAGTGATGAAATGCAAGAAACTACATCCAAGATTACTCTACCTAGCAAAGCTATTATTTAAAATTGAAGGACAGATAAAGAGTTTCCCAGACAAGAAAAACCTAGAAGAGTTCATGACCACCTAACCGGTATTACATGAAATGTTAAAGGGTCTTCTTTAAGAAGATCAAACATATGAACAATACAATGGCAATAAATATGTACCTATCAACAATTGAATCTAAAAAACAAATAAATGAACGTGAGGACAGAAACAGAAACACAGATATAGAGAATGTTTTCACAGTTGCCAGATGGGAGGGGGATTAGAAGAGGGTGAAAATGGTAAAGTGATTAAGAAGTACAAATTGGTTGTTACAGAAGTCATGGGGATGTAAAGTATAGCATAGGGAATATAGTTAAAAATAGTCTAATAACTATTAGATGGGTGCCAGATTTATGGGAATGGTCACTTATTAAACTATGTAATGTCTAATCACTGTGGTGTATGCCCAAAACTAATATGTCGAATGTAATTAAACATTAAAAATTAATTAAAAAATAATTTGCCATTATGCTTTGATGCATATCTATTTTTATTATAGATATAGATAACATACACACTGTTTTAAATGTCAAACCATTAATACATAACATAAAATATTAAAATTTTAACTTATCCCAATATATTCCTGAGTAAATCTTTATGAATAGTCTTTCCTTTTAAAAAAAATATTGCAGTGTTTTCAAAAGACAGTGAAGTAATATTGGAGGTTATCACCTCTAAACCAAATGCACATGGGAAAATGAAAGAAAATTTCAGAAGCTAACAAAAAAGACAATTTATATACTTTTCAAAATTAAGCAGATAAAAAAAGTCTTTGAAATTTGCATATCCTTTAATCTAGGAGTTTCATTTCTATGAGTACAGTTATGGAAAAAATGAAAGATGTTTGCAAGAATAGTGTGGAAAGAATGTTAATGAAGTGCTGTTTATAATGGAAAAACATATATAACTTAGACATCCCATTAGAGGGAATTACTTAAACAAATTATAATCAGGTCATAAAATAAAATACAGTGTAATAAATAATGTAGGTAATGACATTAAAAATGTTCACAATAAATTAGATTTTAAAAATTATGATCACTGTAGTGTTTATTGCTGTATGATGGTCTTATGAATAATTTTTGTTTAAATTTTCTTCTTATGGTGTCTTTTCTTTTTTTCCATCAATTATGATTCATTTTAGGAGAAGAATAATACATTTAAAAAACATTTTTAAATTGAAACTGTTGAGGGAACAAAACCATCAAGAATTCATGGAAAGAGATCATGATGACAGAATCACTATCGTATCTGTTGGAGAACTGATTAATTAATGGCTCATAAAATGCAGTGTGCCATAATGCTAAGTTTCCTAAAATTGCAAACACTAAATTGTAACTGAAAATATCAGTGGTATTTGTTTTAAAAAATAAAAGATTTAGCAAGGAATCAACAGTGTAAAGTACAGACTAACTCACAACAGCACAAGTTCAGCCTAATCACACAAATCAGGGACCTGCGGCGAGGGCAACTCATGAGCACCGACTAGAAAAGGAGAGTCTGTGAATACGTGGGTAACAGAACAGAGGAACTATTAGAAGTGCAGAAACTATAACAAGGAAGCAATTACGTAAAATGTTCTTGAATTAAAGAAGAATCTTAGCATGAATAATAAAAGGATCAATTCAGCAACTGTTCCTAAGGAAATAGAACGTATGACTATTATGGAGAAAACACAGTTAAAGACAACCATATAAAAACTGCATGAAATTTCAGTCATCGTGCTTGAAAAGGAAAGAGTTTGGAAGAAACCTTTAATAAGCTAAGAGAAATAATGCCATCACTATGAAGGCAGCTTCTGACCCACCTAACTTCTCTTTCAAGTTAAAAGAAGACTATTTACAATTCCAAACGGCCTGAAAAAACTTTCTAACAATGTTTAATCCTGGCAAACTGATATCAGAGAAAACAGGTTCAGAAAAGAAATAAAAATGAAATGTGAAAGAGTAATTCATTCATTCATTCATTCGACAACTATTTAGTAAGCAAGTATATGCTAAGCATTGCTCTACCTGTCGGGGAAAGAGGAGTTAAAGAAAGGATTAACGTACAGCTGAGTTTCCACCCATGCCTATCCCCAGGGACACCTGGAAGTCTGGCAGTGACCCTTGGTCGAGATGGGACAGAACATATGAACCAGTCGCTTACAAAGAGCTATTTAATGACGCCTGTGTGTACATTGCTTATTGCCTGGACGACTAGAACAAGGAGGGAAAAGATCCTCTGAGCACCTGTATGTTCCAGACAGCAGGCTACATGATTTGCAGTCACTATTTTTAAATAAAATCTTTCTAATTGATTTACTTGCCTCTAATCTTTCCACTTTCCAATGCATTTTCCAAGAGCAATTTCCAAACACAAATTTGATCATGTCATTCCCCCGCTTCACTGGCTCAAGGGCTGTGTACACAGCGATTCCTCCGCCTGGAGATCATCTCACATCATCGTTTCGTTCACATTTTCCCTTCATTAACATGCAGATATTTAACCAATAGAACCTACCTCAAGAAAATCCTTAGGTGCATAAACAGGTCTGAAAAGGCTTAAATCTAGAATTAAGAAGATAGATTAAAAATTTCAGTTAACATATTATATTAATGTTTATTAATAATAAATGTTAATAATTCTTTCATATGCTACTGTGCAGCTAGATTAATTCAAACACGTCCAGAGTACTGTTTTTTTTGACATGTATTGTATTAAGTACTGGAAACACAAAAATAAAAAGTCCCTCCCATGGAGAGCCTAGGTGACATATTCTGAAAGAAATTAAGAGTCTCCCTTTCATAAATTTCTAACAGATTATTTATAACTGAATTGAAAATATAATGTCAGTATAAAAGTTCTATATGAGAATTCTCAAAGTACATAAAATACAAACAATGGATCCTCAGTGAACTCCTCTAGTTGTACTGAACTGTTCTCCCTTTTGAACTTCTGTAAGGGCTTTCTCTGCTGTGGCACTTATTTCTTGCCCAGTCCCCTACACTTATTTGTAGAGGAGTAGTGGGCAATTATGTACATGTCTACACACATATGTAAATTACATATAGTCATCACTCATTATATATTTATAAAATTGATTCCATTTTAAACATTATAATGATCCAAAAATAAGTTCTTAAAAACATTTCAGTAGTTTTAAAACTTTTCACCATTTAACCTATCTTTGACATCTCAATGGAATTAAAGCTTGAAAGATATTTACCTTAACTATGAGTCTAAGAAATCTAAGAAGTATTTAATTTACCCTTTTATAAAAACATTTTCAAATGCTGCTTTAAAAACAGGGTAATTGAGTTAAATATTCTCAAAATAATGGAGAACACTGACTGAAGTGAGGAGTTTTCAAACAGCAGAGCAAACAAAACGGATGACAGTGAACAGGAAATTAGTGGAAGGGAAAGTCCTTCTCTGTCCAAAAGAACTGTTAATATTGTTAATTGTGGACACACAATTACAGAGACAATTTTTTCCCCACTACCACATTTTTTCAAAAAGTTCTTCATATACCTGGTTCATCAGTTCCCATTTCATTCCATTTACTGAGGAGTTCTTTCTGTTCTCCAACGGGCCGCTAAAACAGGTAATTTAAAAAGTGGTTTCATTTTGCACAGTTTAGCAATACAGCTGAAAAATAAGAATCAATTAACTTCGCTAAAAGTTTAAGTAAGCTAATATAACAGATGGAAAAATAATTTCATTACACATAAACTTTTTTGGAATCACACTTAAATTATTATTAGTTAACTATTACATTGAGTTTCAGTGGCTCAGCTAATGAGCCCAAGAAAAGACGGCAGGTGATTTGTACTGGCCAGTGAAATTCCACATGCAAAACTGCTCCTCAGCCACACACTGCCCCTCTCACCCCACCCAGTCATCCCCGAAATGCACCACAAAGGGGACGGGCCAGGAGAGTGTGGCCGTGAGTCAGCAGCAGCATCTTCCTACATGAAAAGCAGTGTGTTATCCAGTACTAAGTATTCAGACAGTTTTTAATATAAATGTATCCTTTTTTAACACCATCCTTCCTGTGTCTTCAGTGACTTGTCCTTGGATATTATCCAAAGTACATCCATTATGTTCTGTTCAACAGCAGGGAAAAAATAGCAGGTAGGGAAAATGAAGTAATGAAGTGAAGAGAAACTTGTTCTGTCCTACTTGCGAGCAGCTATAAAGAATCCAGAACATTCCTCAAGTGATTTTTCTCTCCTTTTTCATCTCCCTGCCCCACACAGCCCAGAATGGGGGATAAATGTTGAGTATTAGACCTAACTAACACTAATCATATTCAAACTTAATAGTTCTGCAGAGATAACAAATCATTCTTTCCATTCCCTGTGTTAATCCTGTAGGATGGTACCATGTTGGCTGTTACAACATGATAGTATGCCTGAACTCCAGCTCTAATTAAAAAATATAGCAATTGTGCTAATTAGCCAAAAAGCATGGAGTCTGAAGGTAATTCAACTCTTCAAAGTGCACTTATAACCTTTACAGCCAAATCCTTAAATAATCTATACTACAGATTCTATACTTTATTTCTATTTACTCTCAAGTTATAGGTTTACTACAAAAAGCATTACAGCATACATAATAGAAGTCTATATCGAATACACCCACATAATTAGTCTTTTACAGAATTTTGTTTCAAAACAAACTGAAATGCTAATAAAAATAAGATAAATCTGCCTAAGTTATAACTTCATGATGCTTCCTAATACTTGATTTACAATAAAATACTTAAATATTAAAAGTACCTTTCGTGCCAATGGGATACTCAGCTCAGTGCACATACTATTTAAACTCTTCAAAATTCTTTTTTCCCAACTTCCCTGAAACATAAAGAACAATTTATTATCATTTCTGATTAACAATACTGAAACTGATTTTAAAAACTGGTTAAAAAATTAAAGATATTATGAGCTATCCACAAATGGTGAGGCTGGTTAAGACAGGTTATCGTCATACTTGAGCTCAGTCAGCAAACACTGATCACTGCCTATTGCGGGCCAGACACTACCCTCAGTGCAGTGCATTAAGCCAGGAGTAACAAAGTCTCAGTCCTCACAGAACTGACATTCTAGTGAAGAACAGGAATGAAAACGGATTAACAAAAATCAATGTCATATGGTAATAAACACTATGAAAAAAATAACAGATAATAAAACAGTAAATTAAAGCATTTTATAAGTGATTAATATGCAGAAACATTAATGACCTGTAAAACTTTATAGAAATTATTATACTGTCATTTTTCCAGACATGAGTTTTCACCCCTACATACTTTAGCATGGTTGCCTTCAAAGGGCTGAATGTAATTTAACAGTTAAGGAGTAGTTACATTTATACAGTCCTAAAATTATTTCGGCCCTTCGAAGGCAACCATGAAGCTGATGTGGCCCCCAGTGAAAGTGAGTTTGACACCCCTGGCCTAGAGACTCTTTGCCATTTTTTTCCACGATACTGACTTTTTGGGGGCAGTCAAGGCAGTTATATGTTAGAATGTGTCACAACTGGATTTGTTTTACTGCTTTTCACAGTATTGACTACCTTCTTCTCTATCCCCTACATTTCTTATAAACTTGAAATAAGTTAATTTGAATAGTCATTGATTATTGATATATATATATATAATATTTTAGTACACTATATTCTTTCTAATGTTAAAATAAAATGTCATAATTTTATACTAAAATATTCCTAAAGATGACTTACAGAATCCAAAATAAAATAGCAAAGTTCCAAAATTTAGACCTAGTAAAGAAAAAAGGAGAGAACTATATACTACATTATTCATAATGAACAGTTATAACCAGTCAATAAAAGTAGAATAGCTCCTTTATGCAGTCATTATAAAGGTTAAATATGTAAAGTACTTTGAATGGTGACATAGTAATGATGATAATCTTTCAATAATCAGTGGCTTTTCCTATAGCTATCATTATTCACAGCTGCTTCTCTAACACACGTATTTAAATCTACCACTCTCCTTATCTGGAATATACTCTCCGTGCTGTACTCCCATCCCCACCAAACTTACTCCTACGTTTTCTGGACCAATCTTACTCACCTCCCAGGTCTTGGCCTCATTAAGCCCTCTCTTCCCTGGGGCCCCACCCCCGCTGGTACCGGGTGCCTGCTGCTGATGGCCCTCCCAGCACCCCGGCCTCACCCCCATGGCACATCCTCACGCTTGGTCCAGCACATAACAGATGTGCAACATCTGAGCAGACTTCAACTCCAAGCAATGTTGTAAGCATTTTAACATTTTTGAGACAATGACCTAAGCAATGAATGAACACCAACAACAACAAAAGCAATCATCTGTAGGAGAAATACAGAGCTGTGTGAAATGTATAAGTCTTGCTCTATTAAATATGTAGAAATAGATTTTCAAGAATAAAATACTCAATAAACAGCATAAAATGCCCCCCAAACTAATTCCACTTACTGGCTTATTTTCCTTTTTTTTTTTTTTGTACTGTAGATAATTAATTCTCTTAGGTCCAAGACTTAAAATACAGTTAAGTACCTTATTCACAATCAAACATTGATTACAACAATACAGCCCACTTTCACCTCGAACATCCTTATTCACAATTTATGCAAATCTTATTCGACTTTCAGATATCAGCTTAAATATCATTTTTTCTATTAAGCCTTCTGTTCCGTTACACCCCCGCCCTGACTCCAGACTGTGGCAGAAGCTTAATTTTTTAACTTAATTTTCAACTACAGTCTACATTCAATATTATTTGTATTAGTTTCCAGTACACCGCATAGTGATTAGACAGTCGTACACTTTACACTGATCCCTCCTATATTTCCAGTACCCCTCTGGCACCACACGCAGTTATTATAATACCACGGCTATACTCCCTATTCTGTGCTTTACATCCCCATGACTTCCTTGTAACTACACCTGTACAGTGACCCCTCACCTATCACAGGAGTCACATTCCAGAGACCCCAGAATAGGTGAAAATCCACAAAGTAGCGGCGTTATATTTATTTTATTATTTATATATATTTTAAGGCTTTATAAACCCTTCCCACACTCCTATAAACCTTTCCCACTCTCTTATTAACCTTTCCCACACTCTTATAAACACTTCATATGCTCTTAAACACTTTCTACACTCTTAAACCTACGTAATTTTAACTACATATAAAATTCTATATGGGTACTCACCAGTGAATTCTATATGGGTACTTATGTATTGTTTCAAAAAACCTACGCTACAGTGAGGCCGCAATAAGTGAACCGCGATACAGTGAGGGACGACTGTACTTCTTAAGGCCTTTGTTTTTCACCCAGCACCCGCAACACCCCACATCTCTGGTGACTACCAATCTGTTCTCTGTTTGTTCATTTATTTTGTTACCTAGATTCCACATATAAGTAAAATCATATGGCTTTTGTCTAATGATGTGGACCCTGGCTTGTGGGGTCCGTAGTGTTGTGGCTGAGACTAGACAAATTCACACGGGCTACCGAGTCCTGTGGGGGAAAAGGGATAGCATGGCCACTGTCTCGAGAGGAGACTGCCCTGACCCCTGCCTTGACAGGCTTTTATTGCTTCTTTGGGCACATTATATTGAAGATGGTCCTCATTTACTATGCACAGGTTTGCCCCAGGTGGCTACCCCTTCACAGAAAACAAAGGAGAGGATGTTGCTAACCACACCACTGAAGAAGGATATTTGCAAATGCAAAGGGAAAAGTGGTTGAACTGGTTCCACGCATCCCTGGAAGGTTTAGCACAGACTTCAGGAAGTTACTCCAAAGACACACAGTAAACGTTTGCTGCCTCAATTCAGGGTGAGGGAATTTTAGCAAAAAGCAAGTCTCAAAGAGGCCTGGGCACAATGCAGGCCTGATTCCCCACAGAAGAACCTATCTGTGGGCGTGGGTCCTGTGCACTAGACCTTGCTTTCCACTGGCCTTTCCAAGTGGGAGCTGAGCCCACACCATGCAGAATGATCTATAGTCTAAGAAAGCTTATTTTTTTTAAAGTAATTTTAATTTAATCATTACTATAAAAATTTGCCTAAAGATTAAAAATCCATTCCCTAAATTTATATTATTTATCTTATTATATAAAGAACCAAGTTGCTATCTATTGAACACTCATAAAAAAGGCTCTTAAATTGATAAAAAGATAACTCTCAGATATAAAAACAAAATTAAAGTAACATTAGACAGCAATATGTGACTCATAATATACACTGTATATATTTTCAAGACCACAAAATACAATTTTAAAACAGCATAAAGTCTACTAAAATCTCAAACATAAAATCCATTCCAAATAGAATGGCACCTTCTGGAATGACACCTGAACAAGATACTCTAAACATATTTTTAACTTATCCTTTGAAAAATTATTTTGGCAAAAACATCTCATTCAGATGTTTTCTACAAAGTACCATTTTAAAATGACTAACCATAGTTTTTCTAAATGAATACCCCACTGTTCCAAGTATTTCAATTTATCTTTAAATTTAACATTAGATGTTAGATACATAGAGAACATAGCTTTTATTTTTATTTTTTAAAGACTTTATTTATTTATTTTTAAAATAGCGGGAAAAGGAGAGAGAAAGAGAGGGAGAGAAACATCAGTGTGTTGTTGCCTCTCATGCACCCACTACTAGAGACCTGGCCCACAACTCAAGCATGTGCCCTTACTGGGACTCGAACTAGCAACCCTTTGGTTCACAGGCTGGCACTCAACCCACTGAGCAACACCAGCCAGGGTGAGAACATCGTTTTGTTTTGTTTAGGGTTTTTTTTTAGTATTTTTAAAATTTTAATTGTTATTCAAGTACTGTTTTCTACATTTTAGTGCACCACCCCAGCCCTTCCCACCTCCCCCTTGTTTCCACCTCCCCCTCGTTACTGTCCATGTGTCCTTTATACTTGTTCCTGCAAACCCTTCCCTTTTTCCCCTGAAATTCCCTCCCCTCCCCCTCTGACACTGTCAGCCTGTTCTCAATTTTAGTGTCTTTGGTTATATTTTGCTCATTTTTTTATTTTGTTGATTAGGTTCCTGTTAAAGGTGAGATCATATGCTATTTGTCTTTCACCACCTGGCCTATTTTGCTTAGCATAATGCTTTCCAGTTCCATCCATGCTGTCACAAAGGGTAGGAGCTCCTTCTTTCTTTCTGCTGCATAGAATTCCATTGTGTAAATGTACCATAGTTTTTTTTGGTTTTGTTTTAAGATTTTATTTATTTATTTTTAGAGAGGGAAGGGAGAGAGGAAGAAAGAGAGAGAAACATCAATGTGCGGTTGCTGGGGGCCATGGCCTGCAACCCAGGCATGTGCCCTAACTGGGAATCGAACCTGCAACACTTTGGTTCACAGCCTGTGCTCAATCCACTGAGCTATGCCAGCGAGGGCTTAAATGTACCATAGTTTTTTGATCCACTCATTTACTGATGGGCACCCAGGTTGCTTCCACCACTTGGCTATTGTAAATTGTGCTGCTATGAACACTGGGCTGCACTAGGTTCTTTTGGGTTGGTGTTTCAGGGTTCTTAGGATATAATCCTAGCAGTGGAATTGCTGGGTCAAAAGGCAGATCCATTTTTAGTTTTCTGAGGAAGTTCCATACTGCTTTCCATAGTGGTTGTACCAGTTTGCAGTCCCACCAACAGTGCACTAGGGTTCCCTTTTCTCCACAGCCTCGCCAACACTTGTTGTTTGTTGCTTTGTTTATGATGGCCATTCTGACTGGTGTGAAGTGGTATCTCATTGTGGTTTTAATTTGCATCTCTCTGATAGCTAGCAATACTAAGCATCTTTTCATGTGTCTCTGGATCCT